GCGCATCGAGGATTTGGCCCACCTTAACCGTCTGACCAGGCAGATTGACGATCCTTCCACGGTTTGACTCGAATTTCTCTGCAGAAACATCCTTGATAGCAACAAGATTGCGGACGACGGTGCTTGGTGAACACACCCACATCTCGAGGTCCTTACTTACAGGCATCACCGACGGCTCCCCTTTCAGCGGTTCCCGAACAATACCAGACGCGAAACTCGACGCGGCCGCGGATGGGGCGCCGGGTCTGACAATGACAGTTGGAAGCCGACATATTCGCCCGTCGATCAACCCGCGACGCGAGTAATCATTGATCAACGTCTCTACAATCAACTTCTCCGCACCATACGAGGATTGCGGAATCGGAATCGTCATCTCTGATATAAAAGGACTGGAAGGGTCGGGGGGTCCGTAGACGGCGAGTGACGATGGAAAAACGACGGTAACACCTGGTTGATTTCGCCTGAGGTAATCAAGGATCAAGCGGTGCGAGTCGACGTTGACGACCAGGCCAAGATCAAGATTTGCTTCGGCGCCTCCAGACATGATCCCGTGTAGTAAATAACATGCTGACCATGTTTGAGAGCAGAGTAAAGAATCCACAGCAGAAGATTGCGTAAGGTCGGCTTTGGAGGAGACAACACGGGATGCATCTGGGCACGGCGGCTCAAAAACATCGGCTAGGACAAGATTGATTGCTGGAGAAGATGCCAGGAGGGATATGGCAAGCTCCTGACCTATAAAACCACCAGCTCCAGTTACAAGAATGTATTGCTTGTTTTCCATTGGGGGGCTCATGGTTGGCTGGGTAACTTGCAAAAGCAGTTTTGGTGGAAGAGTATGTAGATGAGCCGGAAGCAATATCAGAAAGACTGTGGAATGTAAGCATTTAACCGAGCCATTCGTATGAATACAGTCTCACAATTATTTCCTTGAATACCGCTGCTTGGGCGGTTGTGCCTAAGCCGGCGAGAAAGCCGAAGAGAATCTGCAGCCGGGCTCCCGGCATGCTTCCCATCGGAATTTCATTCCGATCTTGAAGTGGGACAGACCTGTTTAACACAACAATGCTCCACAGTGAGGATAAGTCAGGGATTGACAACTTTTTGGATCGGGTCGCAATACTTCGAGTACTCAACTAACAAATTTACAATCAAAGTCAACAATGTCGGCGCCTTCGCCCACCACCACCAAAATGCAATACGCCCGCCTCGGTACATCCGGCGTCAAAACCTCGCGCATTATTCTCGGTTGTATGGCCTTTGGTTCTCCAGCTTGGGAAGGCTCATCTTGGACTCTACCAGAAGATGAAAGCATGAAAGTCATCAAGCGAGCCTGGGATCTAGGAATCAACACCTGGGACACGGCAAACACGTACTCCAATGGGGAAAGCGAACGTATTCTCGGTCGCGCCATGAAGACATTAAAAATCCCACGCTCCAAAGTGGTTATTATGACGAAGCTCTATTACCCAGTCATGGATGACGATTCACGGCCGCAGCCGCCAGACAGCTATTCGCAACAGCTCGTGAACCAGATGGGTCTGAGCAGAAAACACATCTTTGACGCCGTCGAGGCATCATTGGAGCGTTTGGATACCTCGTACATTGACGTCCTCCAAATTCACCGCCTCGACCGTGATACCCCGCCCGAAGAAATCATGCGCGCCCTCCATGATCTCGTCTGCATGGGGAAAGTGCGGTACCTTGGTGGGAGTAGCATGTACACCTGGGAGTTCGCACGGCTGCAATATACAGCGAAGCTCAACCATTGGACACCTTTTACGTCTATGCAGCCTTTCTACAATCTACTTTACCGCGAAGAAGAGCGGGATATGCTCCCGTTTTGTAGATCTGAGGGGATAGGAATCATTCCTTGGAGCCCATTGGCGAGGGGGCTCTTGGGAAGGCCCGCCGGTGCGACGAGTAGCAGGAATGAAGCTGATGCGAAGACGAAAAAATGGTTCGGCGATGCGGAGCCTGAAATCATTCGACGGGTAGAGGAGCTGAGTAGGAAGAAAGGGTGCAGCATGGCAAGCGTCGCAACCGCTTGGGTAATCAAGAAGGGCTGCTCACCTATTGTAGGACTTACTAGCGTGGAAAGGGTGGATCAGATCATGGAGAGTTTGGGAGTGGAGTTGTCAGATGACGAATGTAAATACTTGGAAGAGCTTTACAGGCCTAGATCAGTGCAAGCTATATAACAGGATTGGAGCATGTACTGTTTAGGCTTCGATTTTTAATGCATTTCCCGTTTTTCTGTGAGGTGCACAATATCCATATCCATATTCTTTGGCAAAGAAAACTTTGTCGTTCATAGTACTGTCATGGCGGAGATTGTGGGGAAATTCCCCTAGGACGAATATCATCTGGATAGTAGGGTCCTAAATAAATGCAGTACAATGGCCGTAGAACAGCCTTGGAGTGATCATTAACTATGAATCAGCCGTGCTCCCGCTTTTTCACAAAGTTCTGTGGTATAGTTGCATTACCTTCAATCACCTACCACTCATCAATTGTTTCTCATAATGTCAAGATCGACTGCAGAAAGTGGAGTCCAGCACGCCCTGGTGACCATAGAGAGATCATTACAGAAACCACCGGATATCTTACCTACTGATCACGTCTGGAGAGCTTATCTTAGGTACAGATGAACGCTCTTCGTTGGAGATCGGATGCATCGTTGCGGCGACGCTTGTCGCATTTCTTCAACGATTGTAGTACTAGGCTAAACTGCGCTACTAGTATGCCATCGCCAAAGGAAAAATCAGAAGAAGCGACACGGCTACCAAGGGATCGCATGTGAAGAAAGCGATAATCACAGGGCAGGCTGCTGCAAGCGTCCCGCTCTGGAGATGCGATGAGGAGTCCTGGAAGTACTTTCCCGGTTTACCGAATCTGGTTTTCCTAGAAATGCAGGCCATGATCAGGCATTGTGGGGTTTAGTACGTGGGTGGTCCGTGTAAATGCTTGTTTTATTCATCTCTTCTCATTCCAATCAAATGGTTAATGTCACTTCTGCAACTCATTTCAAAGTACCCGGTCCCTATTGGGATCTTGCTACTAGCGAGATTTAGTATGCTTGACTGTTTTCATTGCGGAACATGGAGCGATTCACGTGCAGAAGAAACAATAGGGAATTACCCCGCTAGTCGAGTCACATTTGGACAGTGGGGGAGCCACGCATAGCGCAGTATGGGCATTGATTAGCGCTCGGTCTTCTCTCCGATGTTCGTTACTTTGTGGGGGAACGCGGGGGCTGGAGAACCTTCGGAGCAGGACCGTTTGAGAGAAACTCGGCATACTTCTCTCTCCAAATTTGAAGTTGCTGCGGCATCTTCTGTTATAATTTATTACTCTCCTCAAATTCTGAAGGGTTTTTTTTTTCATTTCTTTTTCATATTTGCATTACTGCAGAATACACGTTCGGCAAACCTGACCACAATGCCTATCTCCAAGTCCACCATAGAGGAGAAGAAGGTGATGCTTCCGCCCGGCGTTTACACGCCCGTCATCTCCCTTTACAAACCTACAAAAACTCAGGAGATCGACCTGGATGCCATGTACAAACACTGCCAATATCTCGTCCGTGCCGGCCAACACGGCCTTGTCTACCAAGGCACAAACGGCGAAGCAGTTCTCCTCTCACGTTCTGAAAAGATCTCCATTCTCCAAACCGCCCGGCGCGCTGTCACCGATCTTGGTTTTCCCGATTATCCCTTGGTCGCAGGTATAAGTGGGCAAAGCACGAATGAAACCATTGAGTTGGCACAAGACGCCAAGGATGCCGGTGCATCCTTTGGTCTACTACTTCCACCTAGTTTCTGGGCCAAATCTCTTAACGAGGAGGCGCTGTTGGGCTTTTACAGAGATGTCGCTGATGCGAGCCCGCTTCCCATTGTCATCTACAACTTCCCCGCTGTAACCTCTGGCGTCGACCTAAATTCTGATGATCTCGCCACTTTAGCACAACACCCAAATATTGTCGGTGTGAAATTGACATGTGGAAACGTTGGCAAAGCGATCCGCCTGACTTCACGATTCTCGCCTGCTCAATTCTCAGTATACGGCGGCTCATCTGACTTTTTATTCCCTACACTCGAGGGAGGCGGTGTGGGGTGTGTGACAGGGATGGGGAACGTGTTTCCCAAATCTACAGCGAAAGTGTATGATCTGTGGATGGAAGGCAAGAAAGAGGAGGCTAGGGCGTTGCAGGATGTGGTGGCCAATGCAGAATGGGCCTGCAAGAAGAGTTTGGCGTTGACAAAGTTTGCTGCAGGGCATTTTCTGGGTTCGAAATTAGGAATCAAGAGCGAAGCGTTCTGGCCAAGACGTCCGTATTTGCCTCCAAGTGAAAAGATGCGGGAGTGGACAGTTGATGTCATGGGGGTATTAGAAGCAGAGGAAAACGCTATTGCAGAAAGATGACATAGTTTACACAAAGAGAAAATGATAAGTCATGTCATAAGGAAATTTCTTCTATCTGTTCTATAGAACTCATTTCATAATACAGCAAGGTTAAAAATGCACATCACAAGGTTATATCGGATAAAAACAGATTCTTTGCTGTTGTGACTGATGGTAGAGACCTCACATCATGTGTTCTAGACTTGGAATTATCATATCTTCATCCCAGATCGATCGTCTGGGCGCTGGCAAGGCTGCAAATGCATCAGGGTTTGACTCATGTTTCCTATCCTGCATTACTACAGACTAAACCACATCGATGCTCATCGGGTCTCAATTAGCCTGCCCAGCTCGCAGTACCATAGATGGGCTGGAAATGGCTGCGGCTGCCTTACAGCGATATGAATAACATTCTGAATGCGCATGGAGCCACATTTATGCTGTCTACGATATACTGATATCTAAAACTGTATCACCATTGATTCAAAGACTCATTTCTCAAAAGATGCATAACTATTTGCTATCTCATGCTTATTCTAGGAATGATTAATGGCCCTTTCTTATTCATATGGCTACGCCATATGAATTTGACTTACTCAAAGTGAAGTTGCCTCAGTGAAGCTGTTGACAATGTGCGAAACCTGTTTAGAGGCTTCGTCACAATATTCCGGTTGTGATCTGAAATAGATTTTGTCAACGCTGAGCTCTACGGTCTGACCGTACAATCTGTCTGCAGAAACCTTCGTTCCGACTGCGTCCGTCATCTCCTTTCCATCCACAAGAGCGAGTACTGTTTTTACCACATTTGAGAGTGGTGTATGTATTTCCTCTGGCCATAGTTTCAGTAGCTCGGGCGGCAAGATTGGTGTTGGGACAGTTCCAGGACATATGGCATTTACTCTAATCTTGTGATCGATCAATACGGGGGCGACCGCTCGCAAAAAGCCGATTAAACCGTCTGAATTTTGCAATGTTTAGTATGGCTTGAAGTTTCCTTTGAGTGAAAGTCAAGATGAGAAGTGATGAGAAAACGGACGTACGTTTTGATGCTGTATACACCGGAGCGAAGATGACAGGATACAATCCCGCCTCGCTCACTGTGATGACAACAGATGCATCTTCAAGCTTTTGTAACTTGAAATAATGAGCGGCTAGGTAGGTAGTGTAGCACACACTGTTCAAGTTCACATCTATGGCGCTGATGTTTGGCTTTGGAGGTGGGGCGATTTCATCCTTTGTCTCGTAAAAGTCCAGTGCACCCCCTATACCAGCGTTGGCGAAAACGAAGTCAATCCGGCCTTCATGTACATAGATGTCCTTGAACACTGTTGCAAGACTATCGTAATCCGCAACATCAATATTCCGGAAATTAGTCGCAGCCTTAATTTCAGGGTTAAGGTTCTCGAATGCTTTAACATTACGATCGAGTAGGTAAACACGCCACCCTTTCTGTGCCAGTAGTCCTTCTGCGACACCAAGTCCTATTCCAGATGCTAGATGACAAAAGTGAGTTAGCATTGTATGATAAGTCAACATTGACAGTAAAGAATGTAACAAGGGTTTCGCATGACATACCACCGCCGGTGATCAACGCAACTCGGAATGCAGACATGGCAAGCGATCAAATTGGTCTTTCAATGTAGCTGTTAGAGAACTTGGGGCTGTAGCTGTAGATATCGAATGAATTTGGTGCATTTGATACTGGGTAGTCGCAAATACTTATACAGTGCCGGCAATGACATACTAGCAATACAACAAGCTGAACATCGAAGTACAATATCGGACCATATGGATGTCTAAATCGGCCCTTTTTGGTTTCAAAGGTTACAACAAGGTTCAACGTAGTAGCGTATCTGTTTCTCGGAACCTCCGAAGTTTTTTGAACGAAGCAACCAATGCATCGCTCTACACTGTCGTACTAAAGATTGCGCACTCTATACCGTAACCGAGTTCTCGCACGAAAATAAACGGAAGCATTACAATGGAATAAGCTATTTCGCTTACTATTCCGGATGGAGTATCAACGCCGTGGATGATCTGACCATGGTCAGCCACGTATGTCACAAATAGTCGATGATACTCTGTACGTAATTGTATTTGCTAGCATGTCCCTTTAAGAGGCTCGCTGCCTCGTTCTCTTCTAAGCAGACATGTTTCTTACTGACGTGTTGGTCGGGAGTCTGTCCGCTGGTGCACCCTGTTCTTCACCGAGAAATCAACTAAAGCGATTCGTGGTCTGAGGACCTGCTTAAATTACTTCTCTTCGCATTTTTGAATTATTTTACCATGGGAAAAAGTCTCTATACAATTATCGGTCCACTTGGCTTTCCCATTGAGGGAGAATACGATATAACAGTCTTGCGGATTCACACGCAATGCTCTGTTGAAGTTGAGACCGCGCGGGATAAGGACACGGGCTTTGGAAAGGTCTCTTACAAAAGATGAAGCTGTTTCGGGGTTGCCAAATCTGCAAAACCGGGTCGCATAGAGCCCACTGGAAGTTGACCTTGATATTCTACAATATCACCTTCACTTGTTTCTTCGATATGGCGTCGCTAGTCATCCACCTACTCTCACGCCCTGTATATTCCACTCCGCTGCACTTGCCGCACCAGCTCTGTCGTCTGACACATTGTAAGTACCAAAGTTTCTTTCTTTGAAATCATTCCACCGCTCGAGAATAGTCTTCTTCTTGCGGTCTGCCCGTCGCTGAGCATCCAAATCGACATAGTCAGAACCGAGGACTGCCGCGATAGTACTTGCGGGTGCACCGGCACTGCGTTGATCTATAGCCTTACTCCGGGACCCAGTTGATGTGGTTTGGCTGTTGGGGTATTTTTGTGGCTGTGCTGATGGCTCAGAGTCGTAGTAGGTGGGTGGCGTCGCGTCAGGATTGACGTTATCACTTTTGACTTTGACATTGGCGTTATTAATTTCTGGCTTTCCAATGCGCTGACTGCAATTCGATTCTGTGCCCATATCGCAACGGATGGGAAATGCCGCAAACGGCCTGTTGAGTTCACATTCTGGTAAATAGAACAGTAGCTTTGTGCATAATCAGGCTTTAAGATCGAGGAACCGTGCCAATTCTTGGCAAGTCCCCTAGCAATTGCAGCAGTGACGTAAGGTCAGATGATTTGCTAGAGAAGAGCCCTTCTATGCATATGCCAAGGTTGAATGGGGAGGTCAAGACTCCCACAATATATGATCTAATGTGCCGTACTTCCGGTCTGGCAGTCACGGGACGTATTTCGTTTTATCAGTTTTTCAGTTAATCAATGTGTAGAGCTGCAGTATCTGTTGATGTCGCAAGGTATATATTTTTAGCCAGTGTTACATTATGCGACTTGGAAATTGTTCTGGCTACAGGCCTGCTTCTACAAATAGATGCTATATGAGTATTCCTATAACAAAGGTAACTAAAATGGCTAGATTTGAGGCCTAAAATGATCATACCCAACTATACTAACTTTAGCTATTATCGGGATATAGCAGTTAACCGGCCCTACCACTTCTAAGCAGTAAGTTCATTTGCACTCCTCAAGATCAAAACCATACCACCAAATGACACCAATCACTGTAGTAGTCATAAAAGATAACATTTACCAATTCGCAAACGACAGAGTTTCTCTTCTTTTCACGTCGACTTTTTTCTATCGGCAACTGAGAAATGCTTTTCTAAAGTTGGGATAGCCATGCGCATCCGACGACAGTGGGCCTCGGTAGTAGCGACATCAGACTTGGCAGCTGAACATTGTCAGTCCACAGCTGAATCTTTAACACCCGTTAGTACTAGCATACAAATATTTGGTTTAGCCTCAGCCTCATGCCTTCAGCTGTATTACAACCCGAACGATAATAGAGATGGCACCACTTCAGGCGCTTCTGTGTACACCGTCTTTTGCGATGTGCACAGCCAATACCATATAGCAACCACGCTCAGCTCGACGGTGATATGAAAGATGTGGCTACAGCTGAAATCCTTCAAGATGACTGGCTTGACGGACCAAACATGGGCGGAATCAACCCAGAGTATGCGATGTACGATTTTGAACCTCCTGAGGTTATTTCATAGGGAATCAGAAGCAGCATAAAGGGCACATGTTCGCACGACACCCAGGTTTTTCTCATAAACATCACAAGCTGCATCCTCAGAAGATCAGCGCTTGTTGCCACAGTCCTTTTCATCACTTCCATACAATTATTGATCAGGACGAAAGCCTGAAATTTTGCAGCCTCTAACATCGAGGCAGCCCGAGTATATCCGCAATGGCTGCAATTCCCCTGACCTTACTTGCCCTCGCAACTACTCTGGTCTCGGCCACGACGACATGGAGCGAAAACCTTGTCCTCGCAGACTGCGGTATTGGCCTGGGAGTAAATGGCGGCTCTACATCACGCGAGATGATGTACTACTCCAACATAGCCTGGGGTGCCCCAACATACATGGCCAACGTGCCATGGGACGGCTCGTATCCCTGGCGACCTAGCGGCGTGTCACAAACACTCCCCAACGGAGATAAATGGACGGTGGTAATCGACAACAACGCTGGAGACCCAAATGTCGCGGGGTTCGCCTGGCATACATACGACCCCAATCCCCTGACATGCTTCAGTCGACACCTGGATGGCCTCTTCACGCTGGCCGACGGCAAAAAGTGCAGCATGGCGTACATCTGCAACCATGCGCCAGCAGGTCCAAAACCTCCCGCACCAGCACCAGCACCGGGACCGGCTCCACCGTCGTCTCCACCGCGATTAGACGAGAACGCAACGCCTGGCGCGCTGAAATACCAGCCCGTCATCGACTTTGACAAGTCGGCCTGCTACAACACCATGGCCATCACGCGCAACGGCCAGTTGAACAACGGCCTGGAGCTCGGGCAGGGCGACTGCCGCACATTGGACCGAATATCCAACAGCAACGTTTACGTGCGCGAGAAGTGCACGAATGACGGTTGGTGCTTCTACCTGTACGGCTACTACTCTGAAAAAGACGAGGGCGGCAGCCTTGCCAGCGGACACAAGCACGACTGGGAACACCTGGTAGTGTGGACTCTGCACGGCGAGGCTAAATACCTGGGTTGGTCGCATCACGGGGACTATTCAGTCGACTGGGCACACGCCGTGAGATGGGAGGGCAGCCATCCCAAGTTTGTGGTTGAGCGCGATAGAGGCACTACGCATTGTTTCCGCAAGGCGACCGAGTCGGAGCCGCCGGAGAATGCGACGGGAAAGTGGGTGCGGTCGCCCTTGGTCAGTTTGGAGAGGATGGACGGCGGGCTCAAGGAAAAGATGCTGGGGAATAACTGGGGCTCGGCGCATATGGATCTGAAGAATGACAGGTTTGATGCGGCGTATTGGGATACTTGGAAGATGGCGAAGGCGCTTGATAATCTGGGGCCTCCACGGCCGGATCTTCCCGGCCCCCCGCACCGGGAGTTGTAGAGGCGAGGGGCTGGATAGACAGGGCGAGTTTGTCGTGGGGGTGCTCGGGTAGAGTATGTAAATGGTGATATGTATTGATAGAAATGCGACAAGATGATTAGTAGAAGCCCGTCACGCCAGTCTCCACTCAAGTAACGCAAGACAGCCGTGCACGCGTCATTGGCCCATCTGATTGGTAATCTGACTCGACGGAGACCGAGCCGACAACGACAGAGCATCAGATACATAGTACTACTATGTGTTAGCCGATGAACAACCTTGAACTTCATTCTTTGACACAAACATAATGTCTTCCCAGCGCAACGTGGAAGGCGCTGGCGCAGCAGATGAGCGTGCGCCCTTGCTCGCGCATGCTGACGCGCCCGATTGCACGCCTGTGCCTCGAGAAGGGGACGATGAACCCCAAGTACCCGACGACGAGGTATCGCGTACATGGCAGTACGTATGGAGAGGATTTCTGGCCCTGACTGCAACGCTCATCATCGTTGTGTTTGTCAAGGCATGGATAGACGCCGACGACGTCGATGTACGTGACCCCCCAGTAGTAGTAGTACTAGCCATCCCATGTCCCCACCCCAAAAAGCTCACCACATATACCCCAGTTTGACCTCAAAGGCGCCTTGAAGCGGGCCCTGGGCGGCGGGCTCAGCGGCGCCGCAGCCATGATTCTCCAGGTGCTGCTTCTCATGCCCATCCGCACAATCATGAACTACCAATACCGCCACGGGACTTCGACCACCACCGCCACCAAAACCCTCTATCACGATGGCGGCATCGGCCGCTACTACCAAGGCATGGGCGCAGCACTGTTCCAAGGCCCCATTGCACGCTTTGGCGACACAGCCGCCAACGCCGGTATCCTCGCCCTGCTTCAATCCAACGGTTTCCTCAAGCAACTGCCCTCCCCCATCCAGACAATCTTCGCCTCTGCCTGCGCCGCAGCCTTCAGAATGCTCTTAACCCCCATCGACACGCTCAAGACCACCTTGCAGGCCCAGGGCCCCAGCGGCTGGCGCATCCTCCGCAACCGCATCAAGACAGATGGCATCGGGAGTCTCTGGTGGGGTGCCTTTGCCACCGCAGCCGCCACCTTCGTCGGCCATTACCCCTGGTTTGCAGTCTACAACTTGCTGTCCGACGCCATCGCTGAGCCGCCCAAACAGCAGATTGGCTGGTGGTTGCTGCGCGCGGCCTTTATTGGCTTCTGTGCCTCGGTCACGTCGGATACTATTTCCAATTCTCTGAGGGTCGTCAAGACGTACCGACAGGTCAATGATACGCGGGTTTCGTATACCGAGGCTGCAAGGAAGGTGATTAGGCAGGATGGCCGAATGGGTCTTTTCGGGAGAGGGCTTAAGACGAGGATTATTGCGAATGGGTTGCAGGGGATTCTGTTTTCGATTTTGTGGAAGTGGTTTTTGAAGATTTGGGAGGAGAGGACGGGGTAGGGTGGACATGTATGCATACATGTACATATAAGCACATATGTTAGAGCTGTGGACATCTTAGTGTGCACTTGGTGTATTTGTGCGCTTAGTAGGTATGCCTTCGAGTTCCTACTGCAAGCATCACTCAAGTTCTTGGCACCGGCAACCAAGGCAACGATATAGACACACTTTAGATTTATCTCTCCTAGAAATAGAGCTTGACATCCGTCACCACATTGTCGCCTCACACCGCTCGTGTTTACCTTTCTACTCCCATGTTGTATTTTTATTTGACTATTGTACCCTCCGCAAATCTTCCATTTTGTAGGAATATTGGCCGTGCTTACACCGGTGAGATGTGTCGGTTTTCATGTGGAATCTGTCATTCAGTTTCTTACATTTGCGCTTGTTATAAACCTACTACAAACAGTACTAGTGCAAAATACTTGCGATGTATAGGTGTAAGTACTGCATGTTCGATCGATAGAATAATCAACCTTTTCATCACCTTTATACATCTCAGCTCCTCTGAGCAACACATTTGCAACATATCCCCCGCCAGTTCTCCAAAAGCATCCTATCGTTTCGACAATTGCATTCGTATAGTCTTCACTATTCCAACACCATCTCCAGCTCCTAGAAATCCATCCTGCATTCCCTTCTCAATCCCACCATCTCCCCATCAGTCCCCAAACTTCCTCTTCCTTACCCTCCCACTGCACTCCCGCAGTATATCCACCATACTTTCTTCCCTCCGTTCCAAAATCACATCCTCCAAAACAACAGTCCTGTCCCTCTGATACGCCTCCACCTCCTCCGCACTCAACTCCGGTATATACATCCTCCCGTGCTTCTTATGCCCCACCAGTTTGCTCAACTTCTCCCTTTCCCGGCCTACTTTGCTTCCTCCACACCGCAACTTCCTATACATTGAACCAAAACTCCGCGGGGTCCACTCACTCTCCCCAGCGGCCGCCCCACCATCTTCTTCTTCCTGTACCGAGTACTTATTTTTGAAAAATGTGTTAAAGGCTTGCAGGACGAGGGGAGGTCCTGGGACCCTTGTCACTGCCCCAGCTTCGATTGCGCCGCGTATCTTGGCGTGGAACAGGTCGAGCCATGCATCTTCTTCGGCAGTGTAGGGCTTTTTGATGGGTGTCGAGTGTCGAGTGGAGACTGTATCGCGCTCCCAAGGGTCGGTTGGTTCGTCTGTTGCGCGGCTGAGGTGTGCGTAGGACGTTTTGGGTCGTTTGGGAGTGCGGTCCAGAATTCTATGAGGAGATGCTATGTTTTGCTGTTCATGGGTGGTGGTAGTTGTAGACTTTTTCTGTTTCCGTGTTAGCTACATCTTTGTCTATTTGGCTTTTTCACAGAACAGGTACCATTTGTGAGCTGTTGATGTAGTTTATATAGCCGTAATGATCAAAGTACTTTTCGTCAAAGCCTGGATCGATGGGTTCCTCATCGAGAGCGTTGTGAGAACTGTACTCCGGATCAGACTTCCCATGAGCCCAATCCTCAGTCGATTTCTTAGAGATCCTGTTAATTGGATTCCAACCTGAGACGTGGGAAGAATCAGCTGTGGGTCGAATAAGCTTGGTTGCGGGTCCATCGTCAAAGGGATCGCTTTTGTCAATGCTGTCATCCATCTGGACGCGAGTTTCGGAGAGCGACACCATACTGAATTATATGCAGATATAGCAGCTACTGTTGAGTAAGTTGTTCAATACATGCAGATAGAAGCGAGGTCCTTCCAATTATGGACGGAGTTTCCGTTGAGGTGAATACATCTGCAGTACATTACCAAAAGGGGCTACTTCATCCTCATCAAGTATGTGAACTGAGTGTTGACTGGTGATCAGCAAGTAGAATTCACTCTCATGTCCAGATAGCCACGCAAGGACCAATTTTGAACTCATACTAGTGTAAACTGTGGAGCTCAAGGCTTATGTCCGCTCTCAATACGGTACATTGACGCATGTTGCACGTTACACTTGTTGTTCTCACTTCAATGCAACATGTGAGAAGATCTATGCTTTATGTGGTATAGAAACACTTCATCGGCGCATTTGGCCTGTTGGTGGAGCGTGAAATGTGTAAATTCATCCTTCTTAGCATATGTTTTGCATTTCTAGCTATCTGACTATACGCCTATGGAAAGACAATCACATTCAGTCTTCTGATAGTATACGTTACATGTATTTTAATTGAAAGACATCGTTCTATTCGCCACAATGGAGTACTCTTAGCCTGTCAGACTTAACTAAGCCACTGTGCATATATCATTGTCTTTCACACGTATGGTCTTTTGGTATGAGTGCTTCTGCCTAAAGGTACATTGTTTACAATCAAAGCCTTTCACTCTGAGATCTCAGTGATGAAATGAAGCATGTACTGCGGAAATTATACTTTCTCTATGCTATATTAGATCATATCCTAGTTAACTGTGAATTGGATAGCACACCACTGCAAATCTGCAATCCATAATTGGCTTACCTAACTCTTGAATATTTAGAAAACCACGTTCCCAAGCGTTCACTCAAATTGATATCCAGATACTCCATCACCATGGCGCCCAAACAACGAGACGACGACCCAGAGAGAAAAGCTTACAAGGACCTGAGCATGAATGGCAAACTGAGGCCAATGGCAAAGAGAGTTGGGTTCAGAAACTTTAACAGATGGACTCAGGACCATTTGATAACGATCTTTCTGGAATACGATCGGATAAACCAGACAAGGGTCCGTGATGTTCCAGAAAACTACGTCGCGAGTCCCGCCGACATTGACGCGCAACATGCTATAGTAGATCGGTTGATTAAAGATGAAAAAATCAAACTTGCTGAACCTAAAGCGGGCGATCTCAAACTTCCTGTTCCTAAAAGAAAACGGGAAAATGACACAGAGACAAAAAAAGACAAGCGTGCAAAGGTTTCGTCTGGGGATGACAACCATGTATCACCCTCAGACAGTGGAAAATCAAATGACAAACGCGCGCCTAGGAATGTCGCAGGTACGAAAGGAGTGTCTAAGATAGGTTCCAGGGCAGGTGGAGTACAAAAGAAGTCCAAGCAGGTAGAGAAGTCAGCTGCAACCAAGCCAAGATCCCGTCAAGCATCCACTCGCAAGCCGCAACGAAAGAAAAAGAACATGGACGTTGGAGACTCGCAAAATGCAGAATCTCAAGACCCTTCGGTTTCAGCCGTCCATCCGCCCTTTATGACGCCAGATGCAAATCCAGGAGACGACGACAGCTCTGATAGCGACAGCTCCGACTCTAGAGATGACAATGGAGACCATGGAAACGATGGAGAAGACATTGAGAGCGACGAAGATTCTGAAGCCGAGGAAACAAGCAAGGCACCATCCAAGGGTGAGGATACATCCAAGGTCAAGGATGCCTCCAATCCCAAGTCTAGTGAGCCCCTTGGATTGCACCTCGGAGTTCGCAAAGTCGTTAGGCATGAATTGGAGTGGGACCCACTCGACGAGAGGATCCCAACCAGTCAACTTACGTGGTACGAACAACAACAGCGCTTTCGCGCGCAACAAGAGAAGGCCCGTAAGGAGGCCCAGGAAAAGGGGTTGCCATACAATGAAGGAGATGAGCCAGAAGAAGAGCCAAAAAATGAATGGGATTGGAAGAGACAGTTGCGTAGAAAAGGATAGGCGGTGCTTGCTACATCTGGTAGGGAGGTGCTGAATCTGGTATGGATTTTGCATAGATCTGACTGTCTCGCTAGGCCTGCTAGGTTATTTCGAGGGCTTTGTCCTTTGTGCTTGGGAAGGGGTTTTATGATAGTGGTGCTAATCCGGCGATTTTGCAACGGCTTTGTTCGGGGAAATTTTGCAAGGTGCTTTTCCAATTGCAGGCGTTCTTTGTTTTGATAGTTGTCGAATAAACCATTTCTTTTTTGTGATACATATACGCACACCCTCATGTGAGCAATGTTGGGGATGTACAACTGCTTCCACTCTGGTTGAAAATACTGCTTTTTGATGCATACAATTAAGACCAATAATTGGGTCTCGTTCTGTTTCATCATCTTTCCAAAACACTACACTTTTTTAACAAACTCAGAATCGGAGTTGATATTCACACCATGGTACGACCAAGACGGGGGAAAAGAGCTAACGATCCCGAAGAGCCACAGGAGTCAAATAAAGGAGAAGGCTATATACAAGTAGAAATTGGTGGTGATAACGTCACTTTCGAATGGCTAAAGAACAATCTGACTACACGCATGCAAGAACAAGAAGCGACCCGCGCTTTACTTCCAGATTTGATAAGAGAGAAGAATGGCTTGTTGAAACAAGGCAATACAACTGCATTAAACAATTGGCGTAGGAGACGTGGAAAAAATAAGGTCACACGCGAATTCCGCAAAAAGGAGAAAGATGATTTCATGAACGCTCAAGCACTCTTGGAAGACTTTCTCTATTTCCAAAACCATTCACATCGGCGTAATAGAAATTACGAATTCAAAGTGGATAAGAAACCCGGTCATAGTAGGCTGAGCGCAGTGGGATTGGGAAATCGCCAAAATATACTAGATGCATTTGACAAAGCCAAAATAGGGGGGCCGGTTCATCGTAGTGGATTTTCGGATTGGGAAGGTAAGGAGATTAGAGAAAGAGAGTCGGGTCAAGGACCCAAGCCAGTTCGGTTCAATGAGTTACATCTGTGGACTCCAGCATGTCGACGGGTGCCAGTCGGTTTCGCCGCCACGAAAGACATGTCAGTTGAAGCTACCGCGCTCGTGCTGGATATAGACAACATTCGAGAGGAGTGGAAGCGTATAGAGGAGGTGGAAATTCCTGAGAGAGGCCAGGAAGGCTTTCCTTACCGAACGCACATGGAAAGAAGGCAACAGGAACAAGCGCTCTACAGGAGTGAGCTTGGGAACTTGAGGCCTACCACTGCAGGCTTGCACCTTGAGACAACGCCGGATGGCGTGAAACTTCAGGATAGATTCAGGGACATGCAAATACTGGACGGCGTCTTCATTTCCGCATTAGAGTCCTCATATGACTGGCGCACGTCATACGACTTACTCGGGCCAGTGAAAAGCGGCATCTACGCAAACTTCACCGTCAGCGACGAACGCGAGACAATCGACGAAGAGCCGGCAGAAGACAGTCTCGAAAACGACGACAATATCACCGAGCAACCCGAACCATCCAAGAAGCGCAAAGCAACAGGGAAGACGAAATCTTGTACGAAAAAGAAACCCAAGAACGACGCAACAGAGGACCAAACCACTGAACACACAACCGCCGAACAACAACCAACCACGGACAATCGCACAATGCTCGACTGCCCCTACCCAGCCGGCGAATTCCAACAACCCTCCTCAAAAAGACCCCTCACCCTCTCCACGCCGCTGGTCTCCACCCCCTGGTGCGAAGAAACGCCCGGGCGGCGCGAATACCACGTCTCTCTGCTCCTCTCGCCGTCCTCAGCCGTCGACTCGCCGCCGCACACACCGATCCCTCACCCCACGGCTGCCAGCCTGCCGGCTTCGTTCCCCAACGACGAAGTGAGCCCTATCGGCTTGGCCGCCCAGCGGCGCTGCGCGCACGAGCCCGAGCGGTGCCGGGCGTGGTGGAGCCACGCAGCAGATGCGTGTTGGATCGTGGAGTCGGAAGCAGCGGGGCGGCGGAGTCCGGTGGTGCACCCGATTGCTGAGATCGAGGGGCCCGGCGAGGAGGAGTTTGTGCTGCCGGAAGGGGCGAGGGCGGTGTATGGGGAGAGGGTGGCGGATCAGTATGGGGTTATGGGGGAGGCGTGGCCGAGAGTAGGGGTTAGGGTGCCGTATGAACCGATGGGTTGGGATGATGTTAGGGTGGGTGGGAGGAGGGATGGTGGGGAGGAGGAGGGCGAGCGTGCGAGGAACGTGGTGCATGAGTATCGTGCCATGGCGGCGCCGTTGATTCCTTTGGAGGAGCGGGTTGGTGGTGTTAATGCTGATGCAGATGCGGATGCGGATGCTGGCAATGGAGTGGGCTATGAGAGTGACGGGTCTGACTACGAAGGTGATATGTTTCGTAGTATGTATAGTCTGGGGCGTATTGGTATTACAACTCGGGCATCGGAATCCCGGATGAGCCAGGCGGAGAGTGCGGCGGAGTCTTAGTAGCTATGTTTTGTCATTGAGCTTGTTTTTACGGTTGTGGTATCGATGCGAGGTTGTTTGTTGCCATGTACATCAGCAATGTAATCTAGTTGATTTAGTTGATTTAATTGATTCCTGAATCTGGATTATTGATGGAGTAGACTGATGTCTGTAACGCCTCGGAGTGGGATTCTAGTGAGACATTGTGCAGACCGAACCCCCTTTTTAACAATACCATCGCTTTCTACACCCACTGATTTCCGAAATGATTCACCTCGGCACCCTCAGGATATTCAGGATCCTCGCCCAGATACACTACCCGCTTTTCTCTAACTTTCCTCCCTCCAGTGCCACATTCCATTTTCCAATACGCATCAATTTCCATCTTGACGTCCAATGCCCTTCTACCCGTCTTTGTAGCTATGGCCCTCGCTTCAGCAGCAGTAGGCGGTCCCTTTGGATCCGAGCATTGTCTGCCATCAAGCCAATACAAGTACGCGTGTCGAGCGGATACGAGCTCACCAACAACCCAGGAATCAAGGTCTTGAGGGTTTTGGCCTGGAAGGATACGTATGTCGTATGTCTCGTCTACACGGCTTGGGGATTGTAGGGTGATGGTATCGAACGGTGGCTCATCAAGACCGAGAGATCTGATGATGCGCGGATCGTGAATGATGACATGGTTGACCGGCCCCTTGTCGAGATCGCCAGTTACCTGGGTGATTTCATTGGACTGGTTGCGGTGTACCCACATGGCAGTCATGAGTGCTGAGGGGTAGTAGTCCGCTTGGACCTTTTGTATCCGTCTCAAAGGGAAGACTTTGGGGTTCTGAATTGGGACTACTGTGCAAGCATCGTTGTCTTCCTTGTCGGACATTGTATAGATTGGTTCGGGGGTGGATGATGAATCCAATAGTGGCGAAGGTGCTGTGAGCGGCGAAGTTCCTTTTGTGGCAACGCGAGATGTAATAGTGTCAGGAGAACTGGAGGCTTGCGCAATGGTGTTCCGAGTATCCTCCGCTGCTTCCACCATCTCACCACCTTCCAAATCGTTGTTGCTCATCTCGTCGGTTAGGCCGTGACCTGCTTCCAACTCAAGCCTTTCTCCCGTATCGGCAGTGTCTTGGTTCACCACATCGTCTCTATCCGTGTGCGCACCATCTAAGAGCGGTAGCCTGGATGTCAATCTGTTCTCTCTTTCATTATGTACTCTTGCAAATTCCTCGTATAGCTTCTGCACTTCTGAATTTTCTATTCCCGTAATCAAGTCCCGGATCTTTTGTCGGCGTGGCTCAACCAAGTGTCTTCGGCGGTTTCCTTGTTGCATGATGATGCGCGTTGTGTTGATGAGATCTTTCGCGGCACTGGCTGATGTAATAACGGAGAGCCGAGCTTCGAATTGTGAAAGCAATTGCATCGCTCCAGAAACTGATCGAGGAGTGATCGCACGCGGTTTTCGGTGCCGGGTGGGTTGAGGAAGAGGGTCGGTGATGTTGGAGGAGAATGTAGTAGTCATCGTCTGTTCGTTGGCTTCTCCAGCTGTCCGAGGTGGCTCGCCGTTATCCGACATGGTGTGGTTACTGACGATTGTTGTTCGTGGTTAGGCAATCTTAAGTAAGGCAAGACATGCGTTTGTTGTCCAAAGTTTGCGCGCACAAACTTGGATGAATCACTTTCACCTTCACTCTGCTCTTTATCCTCCTCATGGCTAGTCAGACTGCCCCGAGTTCCTCGTCATCGCCCTAATACACAATCGAGTGAACTGCTCTCCGACTCTGGATATTATTTTCTATCTACTATTACTCCACTCCCTAACGAGGCCCAAATGGCCTAGGTCCAATAATCTGTCTCTTGCCCGCGCCAATACCACCGAGCTTGTTCTGATTATCCCCGCCCATGTATCCGTATTGGTTGACGTCCCAACTCTGCCCAGAACCACTTCCCGCGTTGGGATCTTTGGAAGCTTCTTGCAGAGCGCGCTGTGACTCTTCCCATTCTTTTTGACGTTCGCGCTCACGCTCCATCTCGCGCTCGAGGAGAGACTTGGAAGCCCATCCAAGAGCCTTTGTTTTTGTTTGAGCAGCGGCTCGGCGGGCGTCTTCGGCTCGTTGCTCCGAGGTGGAAGTGAGCTCCGGTGGAATGTGAGTCTGTGGCTTTGGAGGCGCTGGTGGTGGGTTAGAGGCTAGGTAGCGTTCAGTCCGGTTTTGTTTGGTATATGTTGAAGGGTCGGGAAGGGGTCGAGCGGACGGTTCTGGCAGTGGGCGGGTTGGAAGAGAAGGGGCAGTAGGAGTAGGCTCTGGCAAGGGTCGTGGTGATTGCGTTTGTGTTTGGTCCCATTGCTTGCGCAGGTACTCGCGGTCATCCGCATGTGCCCAGGAAGCATTGCTGTCTTGAGGTGAGGGGGCGCGTGGCGGGGGCTGTGGCCTGGGGCGACTCCGGGATCGGTCGCGTGCACGACTTTTTGAACGAGCGCGCGCTTTCTTGTCCTGCAGACGGCCCTCACGCTCAGCTTGATACTGTCTCTCCCTCTCTTTGGCTTCCTCGAGCTGGCGCTCAAGTTCCCGTATGCGCTCACGCTCGGCATTCGGCTCCTCGCTGCTTCCCCGGCGACTGCGCGATTTGCTGGCTTGTTCGGCTTGGTATTGGCTGAGAAACTGTCCCCGTAGCCTAGCATCGCTGCCGGCACGTTTCCGTCGAGTCTCGGCCTCAATCTTTTCCATGGCCTCACGCTCCTCGCGCTGGCGCTGCTCCTCCTCAAGCTGCCATTGCCGCTCCTGCTCTTCCCACTCACGCTTTTGCTGGTCGAGGCGGGCCTGCTTAGCCTCTTGCTGTTTGCGTGATTCTTCCTCCCACTTTTGCTCCTCTTCAATGCGGATACGCTCTTCCTCTGCTTCGCGTTCGATGCGACGCTTGTGCTCAGCCTCTTCGGCCTGCAAGCGCAGGCGCTCTTCTTCAGCGGCCTTTTCGCGTCGCAGGCGCTCCTTCTCTGCCATATTGGGCACATGTGGGCCGGCGCTGGTGATTTGCCGGCGAGCACCGAATGCAATGCCCTGGTTTCCCTGACTGGCTCCGCCCATATAGCCATACTGATGGATGTTCCATGCGGGTGCTGTGCTGCCCTCGTCGACCTTTTTGCTCCAGCTGCTCACTCCCCCAGGCGGCGACTTGGGAAGGCCATTCGAGGCATGTGAGGTATCAGAGCCTCCGGTACGGGCGGCACTGAGGGCCCTTTCGGTGGTGGGACGGGCGAGGGGGTTGAAAGTGCTGGAGCCGCTGGTGTTGCTGGCTGTGCTTGGGCCTCTGCTTCGGCCATAGCCAGGCGATGTCAGGGCGGGGCTTTTGGGACCAGCGCCTCCTGCGCCCGTGGAAGAGGGGCTAAGAGGGCCCGGGGCGGCGCGCTTGGGGCCTATGACGGTGGGAAACTGGGAAGGGCTATGGGCGTTAGCTACGCGGCTAAAGGCGCTGAGGCACTGCAGGACCTGGGCCGGGTCTTTTGCTTCGTAGAGGTCGACGGTGAGGAAGCGGTCATGGGCGGGCATGTTTAGTGGGGGCTGTTCGCATGCGCGGAGGAAGTGGGAGATGTTCTCCATCTGGATGAAGGGCATCTGGCTCTTCTTGAACCTGACGGCGCCGGGCGTGGCCAAGTTGACGAGTCTGCGGCAGTCAGCTCTCCGGATCCGGCCGTGTGGTTGCTTGCCTTCAAGGCCGGCTCACCTGCATAAAACGGTCCCGTCCTTGAGGGCATCGAGCAGATCGCCGGGCGGCAGCCGCTCGCCCAGCGTGTCTTCAATCCATATGCGCACTTCGTTTGCTGCCTTGGGGGTGTACCTGTCCATGCGCAGCTTGCGCATGTCCTGGTCCAGCGACGTTACAGAGGCCATGGCGGGCGACTGGGGCGCAAATCAAGGGTAGGGTGCAGGAGGGTGTGGTGGTTGGGCACGCAAGGCAGCGGGCGGTCGAGGGGAAGAAGCAACTCGTCAGGCAGGATGGAATAGATGCACTATGTAGCTGTCTATCTAGGCGACAGCTGGTCTGCCGTGTGTCTGGTGGTTGGGGGGATAGGAGGGACGGAGAGGATTGACATGAAGAGTGTGCATATATCCGCCAGTCAGCCAGTCAGCACCTGGGCGCTGGCACAAGTGCATGGGTGGAGAAGATGTGTGTTGTGTTGGTGGTGTGGGTGGGGACTTGGGGCGGGCGGGCGCACCAGCCACCCGCCACCCGTGTCAACGTCACCGGTTTTTGGCATTGCATTTTATGTTATGCATGTCACACATGGACATGCATCCATACTTACATCCACACCCATTCACCGTCCATCCGCCGCCACCCAATTCCCCCCATAGCCACGCAACTATCCAAACCACCACAATGGCGGGCGCCCCAGGCCCCATCAGACGAGCGTGGTACCAGTGGAAGATGCAGCGGTTTCCATGGCGCAAAAAGTGGCTGGTTGGTGAGTGTGCCTCGCCCAAGCCTATCCCTGCTTCGCCCTTTGCTTTGCCTTGACACGCCAGCAATACAGGTTTTGATCTCCACGGAAACACGTTTTGGGAGTTCAAGGACGCCCTGCACTCGCTGCGCAATAGGAGAATTGCAAAGTACAGCCGCAGCACGCACTATGGCGACGTGCAAATATCGCGTTGGTTGCCCTTCACCTGCCTCTCTGCCCAACCTGCCCCGACTGACTGGCTGACTGACCGCCTCATCAGCCTCATGGATGCAATGGCTACGACATACGCGCTTCGACCCGCCCTCGATTGCCGAACAGCAGCAAGACGTGGCGCGACAGGAGCGCATCAAGCTGCTAGCAGCCCAAGCCGACGCCAAATGGGCAGCCAAACCCTCGGCCCTCGATGCCCCGGACAAGCAACAGCCCGTGCTGCCGTTGCAGTCACAGCATCCTACCACCGCCCCCTCTCCCATAAACGTCAACCAAGACACACAAGAAAGGACGGCACCAAGACCGAAAAAGGCAATGGCCAAAGAGCCAGCCAACTCCCCGTGGAAGCAAGCTGCACAGAGTCAGGATTGGCAACCACAAGGCTGGGCGCCGGCCCCGGCAAAGCGACCATCATGACGCTTCGTCCCCAACAAACTGTACCATATCCGTGACACGATACCAAATCTCTTCCACTTGTGACTTGCAACACCCCCCTCATGCTACCATGCTTGTACTATGACTCCGGTTTTATAACAAAGGAAAGAACATCATATGGTTCACTTTCAAATAGCATCATCATTCAAATACTACTCACCAACACTAATACGACAACCCAAATGTGCTTCAACGAGTTGCAAGCTCGCACTGTTGTGCATAATGAGGCTTTTCTGGTCCCTACACAATGTCTCGTGCTGTTCTTGGGGTACGTGTACATCCGAATTCATTGACGTTCCTACTCCCGGCCTCTACAATCACAATTCCATCAGTTGTCTTATAGTCTTCAGCATCTTGCCTAATCTCCCTTGTTCAAACAATCATCCCATCCCCGCACACATCTCCTCTCCAAATGTATCATTCATCCAAGCCAGCCATTGGCACTCCAACTTCTGCACGTGAATCAATGGTTCGCGCACGTCATTGCCAGTATTCCATGTACCTACCGTAGTTATCTACCACCGAACTTGCAAGTGTTGCAATTCTTCAAGAGGCATGATTGGATCGTGCTCGGGGTCGAGTTCCTGTCCGAACACCACGCTACGCAATCGCCCAGTAACGAGCTGGTATTTGGTTGGCAATCTGTGAAGGCGGCTGACCGCATTGATGCGAGGATCAACATGTACTTCATATTGAAAAGTGGTTATTTGATTCAAGATTATTTCAAGAGTCGGCTCAAATTGAATGCCTTTGCGTGTCGTGGTATGAATGACGGCTTCTCCGATGCTTTTCAGGCGGAGCCAACAGGACCCTCATCGCCTTAAATACCTCTCAAGATGGCCCAATATCTGACATAGCCACGGCTCATTGCGTTGGTCCTTTGTGGATGAACTTATGAAACATTGCTTGGCACCGGTCTACCGCTGTTTCCCTGTTACATCCCACCCAGACTATAACAACAAATGAAGACTAGCAATACCTTCTAATTTCACGACATTATATCCACCAAAGTATGTGTACTTCCTCCTATAAGCGCTTTCGTTCCACATCCAAAGAAAATATTAGAGCCGGCATTAAGCTGACCAAAAGCCTTAGGGTAACTAAATTAATATAATTTGTCATTCAAAAAGCCATTTGTCGAAGACGAGTCTACTTCTTACACCAGTCAGATAATATTATCACTTGAATCTAACAAAAAGAAGTTCCAAGACATTTACATAGAGATGGAGAGGCTTCTTCGTCCTTGGCCGTTCAGTGTACTGCAATGCTGTCAGGATACTGTGCCAGCAAACTGCACCATAAGTAGCCTTTGTTGACCCAGCCCTGTCACAAATACGTGAGCATAGTTACCCATCCCTCTCGAGACACTATGTTTACTTAATAAAGAGCTGCTTCGCTACAGGTACAAGTCTATTTCGTGCTGTCAAGTCACGTGATATGATACAGTAACAAGTGGCAATCAGTGAGATCGGGATGAAAATACAAAGCACTATGAGAATAATTCAGAACTTCTATTCCAATAAACAATTCTCAAGGCGGTCGAATGCTATGCCTACTGGTTCCATACAGTAGTGTGAAGGCAGCGCCAAGACGGTCGGCGAAAGTGGTGCCGACTAGCTTGAGATTCTTCCAGTCCAGCTCTTGCGACGCGCTCACCACCCGGCGCGCAACTCGACAACTCAATCCGCGAATCCAGGCGCTCCACGCATAACGACCAAATCCATTGCGAAACCACGATGCCCAAGTTCTTCTGCGATTACTGCGATGTCTACCTCACCCACGATAGTATGAGCGTGCGCAAGGCGCACAACAACGGTCGCAACCACCTCCGTAACGTTCAGGCATACTACGAACAGATATCAAGCGACCAGACACAGCAAGTCATCAACAGTATCACCGATGCATACAACACAGAGGGCCAGGCAAATCCTTTGTTTCAACAAAACCTAAACGGAGGATTTCCTGGCGGCCCAATGGGCGGAATGCCTGGTATGCCTCCGATGGGTATGCCCGGCTTCCCACCGCCAGGTACGTTTTACGCCGCCCCGGAGTGGAGGATCGAAATGCTCACATAACCCAGGAATGCCGCCTATGGCTGGAATGCCCCCACAGTTTATGGGCCGTGGTGGTCGTAAGTCAACATACACCAAACATACAGAGCCCTGTGACTAACGGTATGGTAGCGCCCATGCCTCCCAACGGAATGCCGCCTTTCCCTCCGCCCAACGGTATGCCTCCAGGCCCTGGTGGTGTGCCTCCAAACATGCCCCCGTTCCCACCACCACACATGGGAGGCGGCCCACCTCCTCAAGGGATGCCGCCATTCCCCTTTCCGCCACCTGGTAATGCTGGCTCACCACCTGGAGGTATGCCATTCCCACCACCAGGTGGCATGCCCATGCCACCCGGAGGACCTCCCGGAGGACCGCCTGGCAGATATCCTCCTGGACCACCTGGACGCTAGGAGCAGTCCGATGTACCGACAGGAGTTTCAACCGACTTTAGCCATGATCAGCATGTGCTTACATTTGACAGTGGAGGACCAGAGAGAAATAGAGAGAATGAAGATGATATATCCAATGTGTCTACGTGGGGTTGGGGAGGAAACGAGCCTCGTTCAGCTGCTACAGGCGCAAATACCGTGCTACCGACAAGATTCAAGCGGACACAGCTATAAGCACGCCAGGCTTGCGGTGGTCACAAAGACCCACGAGAGCTGATGCATGTGTGCGTCTCATTCATAGCCTGCTGCGCTCCTTCAGCAATCTCACAGTCAATGTGGTCATACTTACTGAGCAGTATTGGTAAAATATACAAAAGGCGTTGTCAAAACAGGTGTCAAACTCGTCCAATTAGCTATATCACTGGCCAGTATTACTATTTACAAACATCTTACTCGCGTAAGTCTCGACATCCATCATACACATACCCAACTTGTGATTTACTGTCTCTTCTTTGCTCCACCAAACTCCCTCTCTCGCAAAGACTAGCCTGTACTTCTTGATGACGTTGTCCGAGTCTGCCTTGAGCTCGTCCACTAGATGTGAGATTGTCCATTCTTCTCTCTCAACTTCTCTCCCGCTAACTCTTTCAACAATCTTAGCCAGTTGTCCATAACTCAGTGTGTCTCCAGCAACATACAAAACACGCCGTTTTGCCTCGACGTCCTCATTGACAATCCTCACCAACACTCGTCCAATATCGTCCACGTCTGTTATAGTGACCCTATGGCCCCAATCTCCCAAGCACCTTACTACCAGCTTGCCATCCTTTTCGTGCGTCCTGTCTACGATACCCCAGAATGGCTCAAAGAGAAAAGACATGAAAATGCCAGTAGAGACAACGGTCCACATGACATTGCTCTCCTCACCTTGCTCCCGCAAAAGGTTGCGAACATCACGCTGCGCGCCAAACAAGGGCATAAGCCCCTGCCCATCACCAGTAATGTCGTAGTCGACGCCCCACTGCCATGGAAAATACCACAAATCGCCCTTGCCCTTTGCCTTCCTTATGGATCCTGCCCCCAGAACCTCTCGTGCGAGTTTTACAACGGTGGTTGGATCTGCACCGAAACCAGTCGCACTGGCAATAATGTCAAAATTGGAAAACGTTTCTGAGAGGTTTGCAGAAGGGCCGGAGAGGTCGATAGAGAGCAAGGTGAGAGAAGGGTAGGAAGTGGCCAGGTTGGTGTATTTGGATGGAGAGCGGATGCCGAGAGTAATGTGGATGGATGGCAGTGTGGAAAGATGAGTGAGTAATGTATTTCCTAATTCCCCAGCACCTAAGAGTAGTAGTTTGGTTATGGTGTTAAGTGTTTCCGATGACATCGTGTGCTATGTGCCAGATGCTTGGGAGTTGAGATTACGGTGGCTAATTGAGAATCCAACAGATCGATTCTGCTCAAGCTTATACGCATGGACTGCTAGTGGAAGACATACTGGCTATGCATTAGTAAGTGTCATGTCCGGCTTCCAACTGGCGCTGCGCGTAGTTACTTTGCCATGGGCAAAGAGCACGGAGATAAGACCGGTTGTCTCGGAGTTAGTGGACTTTTTCGCACATGGAGCTGATCATCAGCTGCAGAAAGAGGAGGTTAGGGACGGATCATCGCAGACGGCTTGTATTCAGCGGAGTAGCCACAAACCAGTGTCGAAGACATGGGCTGCCAGGAGTCGTCGCACAGTGGGTTCAACGCGAAGACTTGAGCAAGTTTCTCCAGTTTTGACCCGAGATCGATCGAGGTTTTTGTGGTATCAAAGGCTCTGATCTCATTTGAGGTACGTCACCAGCCTTCACACACACAATCATCCCCTTTAAAAACTCAACATCAATGCTGGGTTCGGAAGAAAAGTTGAGGGCTTCGCTTACCCACTCACAGGCCATGGGCTTGCAAGGCTGGTGCTTTGGCGCTAGTCCAGATATGGCCATAGCGCCTTCGTCTATTTCGCAATTTCGACGTCCCGTTGTGCGCTCCTCGTCGAACAACTTCAGGACTGTCCATCAACATCCGAGTGCGCCCACGTCCATCCTCAGCAGAAGCCACTCATCACAATCATGGCCGAGCAACTCGTACTCCGTGGTACCCTCGAGGGCCACTCTGGCTGGGTTACCTCCCTTGCTACCTCTCTGGAGAAGTGCGTACCCCCGAAAATCTCCTGTACCGTCCAAGACGCGCAATTACTGACATGCGACCAGCCCCAACATGCTCCTGTCCGGTTCGCGTGACAAGACGCTCATCATCTGGAATCTGACCCGCGACGAGACCTCGTACGGTTACCCCAAGAGGAGTCTCCACGGCCACTCTCACATCGTGTCCGACTGCGTATGTTCACCCGCACACACAAGGCAATTGGCTAGCTAGGAAGCGAGAAAAGCTGAGCTGACAATTGCTGCACAGGTCATCTCTTCTGACGGCGCCTACGCCCTCTCCTCGTCCTGGGACAAGACCCTCCGCCTCTGGGAGCTCTCCACTGGTGTCACCACCCGCCGCTTCGTCGGCCACACCAACGATGTTCTCTCCGTCTCCTTCTCCGCCGACAACCGCCAGATCGTTTCCGGATCGCGCGACCGAACCATCAAGCTCTGGAACACCCTCGGTGACTGCAAGTACACCATCACCGACAAGGGCCACACCGAGTGGGTCTCGTGCGTTCGCTTCTCCCCCAACCCTCAGAACCCCGTCATTGTCTCGGCTGGTTGGGACAAGCTCGTCAAGGTACGTAAACACAACCCTTTCACACCCAACCTCCACCCTCGTTTTATGATGATTTTCTATGTATTTGCTACTTCAGAGCTTCGGCTATGAGACAATTATCACCTAGTACTGATTTGATGCCTCTCTCCTCGATTTGCTACCAAGCTATTCGACCGCAAGAAGCTAACATCAAACAGGTCTGGGAACTCGCTTCCTGCCGCATCCAGACTGACCACATCGGTCACACCGGTTACATCAACACCGTCACCATCTCGCCCGATGGCTCCCTGTGCGCCTCCGGTGGTAAGGACGGAACAACCATGCTCTGGGACCTGAACGAGTCCAAGCACCTCTACTCTCTCTCCGCCGGTGACGAGATCCACGCCCTTGTCTTCTCGCCCAACCGCTACTGGCTGTGCGCTGCCACCGCCTCCAGCATCATCATCTTCGATCTTGAGAAGAAGAGCAAGGTTGATGAGCTGAAGCCCGAGTACATGGAGGTTGGCAAGAAGAGCCGTGAGCCCGAGTGTGTCTCCTTGGCCTGGAGCGCCGACGGCCAGACCCTGTTCGCCGGATACACTGACAACCGTATCCGCTGCTGGGGTGTTATGGCACGGGGATAAGGTAGTGCATGTTGGGTAGTGCAATGGGGCGTAACGGGAAAATCACGATTCCACATCTTCTGTAGCATGCCATGGGTTATGATTGATGCTCATGCGGGATGGGTTTGGGGCTCTTCCGGCATTAACACGTCCAGGCGCTTAGAGTCAATGAAAAATCTCAAAGTCCAACAATGGAACATCATCACCGTGTGATGGTCGTCGCGTCTTTGTAGCGCTGGCTCAGAGCGACGCTCGATGACTGCTTTTCTGAGATTTGGTACTCAGTTGCAGCCCATCTCAGAGCGATGCTCGGACGGCTGTTTTCTTTTCAAGGCACGATGTTAGGGAAATTCTTTTGACAGTAAAAGCATTCTTGTGTCGCTGTGTATTATTATGTTGCGATGCGTATATCCCCTCTTGAGTGAACAGTGAGTTGTCATGATGTGCAACAGCAATATCAAAAAGGTATATCATGCCATGAGGTACACACATTCTCCGCTTTTTTAGTTTTGACACAAAAAGTGTCTGCTTTCTCTCTCTCTCTCTCTCTCTCTCTCTCTCTCTCTCTCTCTCTCTTCCTCCTTTCATCCATCCAACCTTTACAACTTGCTAAACTTTGGTGTCCTCTTTTGCATGCCACTCAACAGCGCATCTTTAACATCGTCCGTCTGCAACATGGCCGCATTCCAGACAGCCGTATAATTCAGGCCCTCAGCGACCGTCCTATCCCTCGAATAATTAATAAGATGCTTAGTCCCCAGCGTCGCCACGGGACTCTTGCTCGCAATCGTCGCTGCCAACTTGACTGCTTCAGCCACCGCCTCTGCCTTGTCTTTGTACACGGCCGACACGAGCCCGTGCTGCAGTGCCTCGCTTGAAGGGAAGATGCGCGCGGAGAGGCTGATGTCCTTGACCCAGGAGAGGTTGCCAACGGAGTGTGGGAGGCGCGATAAAGTACCAATGTCTGCGGCGATGCCGATGTCGACTTCCTTGACGGAGAACTTTGTCGTGTTGGTCGAGACGCGGATGTCACAGGCGAGGGAGAGGTCGAGGGCGAGGCCGAAGGATATTCCATGGAGGACTGCTATGACGGCTATTTTTTGGTTTTACATTGTCAGTTTTTTTTTTCTTAACGCCCCCTTTCCAATTCAATCATTGGTATTGAATTGAATTTAGTATGAAGTGGGGGGGGGAAGGGAGCGGGGTTGAGTAAAACGTACGTTTCTCGCACTTTTCAATATCAGTGATGCAATCTTGGAATTCCTGAATGTGACGGCGTATCTCGGTGGCTTTGCGGGCGCCGTCCAGCGGTGTCTTGTCGTCTTTTTGTGCGAGGGCGCCGTCGTTGGATGCAGCCTGGACGTCTAGACCGGCTGTGAAGGCGCGGTCGCCGGCGCCGGTTAGGACGACGGCGCGGACGTTGGGGTCGTGGGACAATTGGCGGAAGATGGAGGAGAGGTTGAGCCACATGCTTTATAGGGTATGTTAGTATGGGAATTTTGAAGAGAGTCTTTTTGGTGCTGTGGTCATCTGGTATGCACAATATGCAGTCTTGCATCTTTTCCTTTGGACATCGTTACAACTGAAGATGTGTTGTATGTACTTGCTCTTCGACTCGCATGCGCTCGTCCATTAGACTAAAGAACGGAGTTATATACTTACACCTCCTTGAACGCATTCATCTTCTCCGGTCGATTGATCTCAACGTGCGCCACATATTCCACTGGGAATGAAACGTTGAAGAACTCCTTCTGGTAAGCTTCTGCCATGTTGTCGTCGTACCGTTTGGCTTCTTGTTGCTCCTTGCTCTTTCTATTTGTATGATAAATCAGGTATTTTTTTTACTTGCGAAAGCGACCAGGCGCTACTGAAACTCCTGCAAGTGGCTGTTCAAAGGGTTGTGTGAGTGGTAGAGCTATGTGTTGTTGTCGGTTCGTATGGACGAGTGGTTCGGCTGAGGGAGCTTGTGATGGGGAGATGCCGAGGTACATTGTATGTGGTTAGTCAGTTTCCGGATCGTGTCTGAGCGGATCTATCATCGTTGATGGTCAATAGCAGGTGAACAGAAAACCAACATTTACAAAGTGTCAATTGGGTAACTTCTCAAGGGCGCAGTTGCTATGTGACCTTGCGATTTCGAACTCTTTTCGTGAAGCGAAATAAGCATAAGAGTAAACGCGCACTTCTATCTAACTATAATTGACCTAGTCAATGCTTTTCAAGATTATTATCATACGAGCATCTTTCTTGATTTCCTACTTGTAAGTCGGCGGCTGGAAAGAATGGGCCGTAGTTCCAAGAAACCCATACTCATGCTGGCGGTGAGCAATGTTTGAAGGCAAGACTTGGACCAAGTGTAGACTGAATCATCCAGGTATGCCATATACTAGGTTTTTCCATAACTTCTTCACGCATTCACAGCTTTGCTAAGCTGGATCTCAGTTGATTGGCTATTTTAATTCTCCAATATGACGAGAAATTATTGTTTACTCTAGATAGTCGCCGTAAAGGTGCTTGTAAACTGTGCGAGCTTTTTTTTGGCAAGGCGCACATTGATCTTAAAGCTCGAATGAAAAAAAGAGAACCGTCACTAGGAAGGGCAGGTTGCATTTCAAGATATTTAATGGGGCCTTCAAACCCATTCCTTACTTTGTTTGTACGTGCTCATTACATAGATACATTGTTTACATTTATAATCTTGAACGGTCCGGACGATTTTATGACCCAGGGCATTGCATTCGATGTTCGAACAACTGAAATTGATGGAATACCGGGCATGACAAGAGTAGTAGACTGGATATCACAGTCAATATCAGATGTGACATAGACATGATGTATTATTAGCTGTATTTTGGCGTTACATCCAGCGAGCTTGCTGATTCAATGATACGATTTCGTCTCAATATTTGAATGATATTAGAAATAGCCTGCCACTTCCACACTCAATCACGCCATTTATAGTTTCAGCCCATAAATAACACTCTAAATAGAACATATCACATGATACTACTCTGACCCTGCTGAACTTTCTAGCTTATCACCAGCATTCGTATCCGGCAACTGTGCCACGCGCCATCGGCCATTTGACATATGCGATACCAAGAGTCACCGAAATGTACAAAGATTCGTTTGCAAAAGTACGAGAGCGAAAGTTTCAATTGCATACGTAACTAAGACGAAAAAGGCTAAAATAAATCGTATTTTGCAGACAGCCTGTTTGGGCGAGATGCCCACGAGACGCTCTGCGTTACTACAAACCCTCTTTTTCGCATTGGGAATAAAAAAAGAAAAAGCCACAGAAACGCCAAATTTGCTTCATGTGAGACAAGGCGTTTTAATCTTCTAGTCACCACAGCGATCATGCCGGCAAATAGGTGGAAGAAAAGGCATGATATGACCATACGCATCTGGGACTTACTTGGAGTGCCAATATGGAATAGGAGAATGACCAGCCTTGCGTCATTGGTAGGCTTGAGATTTGCTAAGGAGTACTACACGAATCCAGATTTGCACATGCAGTAAATCATCAAAATTGAAATACATGCTTGGCGACTACTATTGGTGAAGCAGGGTTTATGGCGGTTGACAGCCACAATCATGACGACAACAGTACAGTCAGCATGCAAGGCACGTTAAACACGAAAAGACTTCCACGAAGCCCCTAAGAGGAGAAAGGTAACCATCACTCGAGTAAGTAAGTACTAATCGGCCACCTTAGAGGACGAAAAAGTGTGGGCACCAGAGCCGGAGTCTCGGCGTTCAACTCGGGCGGATGATTGCACGCGCGCTGTGGACACCGAGATGATCGGGTACGTAACACAGCGGACCCTGTGTTTCCTTCGTGCAGAATACCCCCTACAGACCGGGATTCGCATGTCTGCTGTGAGAGGAAGGTGGCTGTGCTGGAGTTACACAAAACGGTTGTGCATATTAACCGTGATGAACGTAGAGTTTGCGTCTCCTGGCTGGGCGAAGGGGTCAGGGATCAGCAACGCAGGAGATAAGGATGCTCAAGAGTCTGTTGCTTGGAAACTCGATCAGCAGGAAGAAACGTGTTTCAAAGTCTTGTGCGCCAAAACGGTTTGGTTTTGAGGATTCTTATCCTTTTCTTTTGGCTGTCCCTGAACGATCTCATCTGGTGGGAATAGAGGAGGGGGACTTGGCAGGGCTGAAAACGCCAGACTGGGTTTCAGCCCACCCGCACTTAACACAAACGGCCATTGCTTCTTTTCGCGCACAGAATACAGGGATAAGGGGAGAAAGCAACGCCACAGCGACGCGCCTGGGAAACATCCAACAAACAGCGAAATTACACAGGAATCCGTCGAAACGGGCAGGCAGTGGCACAGTCCAATCAGTGGGTTACCACGCCCACGCTCTTGTAACAGTAGCATTGACAAAGCCACGGCCGGTACGTCCTCGGCTGAGATTGCACTCCTCGTAAACGGAAACAGCTCCATAAAAAGCCTTTTGAGGGAATTCTGGCGAGCGTGCACAAGTGCAACGCGATTCAATTGCCAAAGGTCCATGGCCGAAGAATTCCGCCAAGGAGCAGATGCGCCCTCGTACTGTTTGTCCGGTCATTTGCTCTCCTTAGTGCTAGATTTCATTGCAGCTTGCGTGGCGCAACCCGTCAGTGGCAGTGTCAAACTTTGCTGATGATGTATAATGTGTATGTCACGCACCCGCGACCATTAGCGCCTTGAAAATCAGGCCAGGTGAACGCTAGTCGGTGCTGCGTAGACGTCATCAGTGGCTTTTGGATCTCTGCGTTGTTTTTGCCAGTGTGATTTGTCTTTTGGGGTTGCCCTCTGATGGTCAGTTTCATGCCAATTATTCCACCCCCGCCGAAAATCCTCGACACTTGTGTGACGGATGTCTCTTGAAAGAACAAGGCAAGCCTTATGGCGGCGCAAACATACGTTTTTCATTTACCCTGGAAAACGTCGCGTGTTGGTTGCCTGATACTCTCGCGGTAGCCTACCGGTGAGGAAAACAGAGGCGATGACAGAAATAGCACCGTATGCCGCGAATCCCGTGAACAAGTGCACTATAGTCTGGTAGGTACTAGGTTCAGGCCTTCGACAGCCATGAGGATAAAGAAACGGGTATAGCGTTATTGCTTCCTCGTGTCCAATAGCGCCAAGGTGGGGTCGTAAGCATACTATACGGCCAGTTAGTGGTTGGGTAAATCCTTCATGCTACATTTCTTTCTCGCACTGCTGCATTGGAACCAGGCGCGCAGCGAACATCGACTCCTCAAAATCACTCGTTGGCCTTTGATTAAGAATATGATAGTGTATCGAGGGTCAATTTGAGCTTTTGAATCCCGATGAGCTCAAAATAGCAGTACTACCTAGATCGTCCGAGCGGAAATTGCAGCCCCGCAGATAGCGCCATGGAATTATGAGCAACGGTGGGTCTTCGGTTCGAAGCAGAGCAAGTACTTCCCCACCAAGGGATTGTCTACAATGTTGCCAAAGGGGCGCAAACATACATCCACGCGTGTACGTATACACATACGCAGACCGAGACGATTGGAGGTGCCGGCTTTTGGTCCCGTATCACACTATTAGCTGGCGTCGATAGGCCCTTTTTGGCTCGTCACAAAAGCTTCTAAAAGCCATGAGCATGCAGCCCTTTTCCCCGCTACCGGGAGTCCGCGATAGTCTGGCCCATTCAGTTGCTTTGTTGGCATCAAGACCATCATGTTCGCCTCACAGAGAGACTGCTAAAGTTGATACGTCAATTGCCAATGATGACGAATAGGCGCCAAGTCATGATAAGTACATGGCCATGGCGGTGGCACACGTGGAGTACGTGCTGCCAGTTTCGGGGATAGCACGGGGTCGTTCCGTCCATGGTTCTACTATATCTGGGTACCGAATCGCCAAAGCCAAGATGAAGAACACGATGTCTCGGTCCACCTATGCGGCTTTTGGATTGTAACTTTGGTCAAAATCTAATCGTCGCCACAAGACAGGGCTTGTAGGAAGGTGTGCAGGGGGCCCTTAAGCATACTTAGCAGTTCGTTTGCCATCCATTACCATCGTCACCAGCATTCGGGCGCCGGCGACCCCCTTGCTCGATTTGGCAGTGGCTTCGTACCCGGCAGAAAAGTAGGAAGCCAGACCATGATTTACACGGTGTACCAGGACATTCCTGGGCAGCACAAAGTAAACCTAACAAGGAAGCTCGGCAACGTCGAATTAGCCACAGGCCAGAAGCGGCTTAGGCGCCTCCTTTCCCATTCGTCTCCGATGCAATAGCTCGTGTAAGCTGACTTATTTGCCAATACAAGGTTGCAGACCTAGGCCACCTGGGGAAAAAGCGTTTTGTCCCTATTTCCAGAACCCATGACCAGGTGTCAAAAGTGGGAACCTGCTGGGGCCAGTGGGCCGTAATGATCTGCAGGACAAAGCGCCCACCCACGCTACAGCCTGAGGCGGCCGGTTCATGCAGGTCCAGCTATAAGGATGACAGGCCCGCCCAGGTTCAATCTCTTACCTTTTGGGTAGCTTGCTCGTCTTCTCGTGTACACGCAGCTCCCGTTCGCTCTTGGGCTACAGTCATTCGTTTTTTTCCTACCAACTTTGCCATCTGCGTACCTACTATTACATTTAATACAACCCTTCGTCTTCACCATGCGCACCGGACTTCTTTCAGCCAGTTTGGCCATGGCCGTTGGCGTTAGCGCCCTCCCGTCGCCCCAAGTAATGGCAGGATCGCTGCCAGAACTGGCGGCAAAATTATCCGGTGAAGCAAGCACCTTGCTGACAGACTTGATCAACGGCGTGGCTAAGGCGCTGCCTGCTGAGGCTTTCAAGACGCAATATTCACACACGCCGGTGCCCATCGAGGAGGCCAGGGCTGCTTTGGAGCATTACACTTTCAACATGAGCGAGGTGATCGGCTCCGGGAAATATGACAAGCGCCAGAGCGCCCAAAGATGCGCAAACCCCACGATCTACATAGAATGGGACCGATCCAACGATGATCAGAGGCAAAAATACTTCGATGCCTTCAAGTGCTTGATGAGCCGCCCTCCCTCTGGTCAATTTGCCGCCTCTAAAAGCCGATACGAAGACTTGACAGCCCTGCACCAGACTCTCACGCCCAACGTCCACGACAATGGCAAGTTTCTTCCCTGGCACAGGGCTTTTATTCAACTTCTGCGCCGCCTCATGCACGATGAATGTGGGTACAATGGACCCATGATTTGGTTCGACGAAACGCGCTATGCTGGCCGCTTCGCGCAATCCTCTCTGTTCAGCTCCAAATGGCTTGGAAGCCTCGGAATCAACGGTCGGTGTGTAACGGATGGCGTAAGTTGAGAACAATGATGCATTCCCAGACCAACGATTAACTCAAGTCGGCAGCAATTCGCCAATCTTATATGCAATGTCGGTCCCGGCACATCTGACCAGCCTCATTGTCTATCGCGCAACGGCGACGGCTCGGTCACCAAGAACTGCAACCAAGAATACGTCGACATTTGCAACCAGTACCCCGACTGGGCTGGAATGACCAGATGTTCCTTCTCTGGTGTCCACGGCTTCGGCCACAATGGAATCGGAGGTCCCATGGCGGATGTACAGGCCTCTCCTTGTGAACCATTCTTCTACTTCCACCATCACTTCATCGACCGCAATGCACGCATCTACACTAACAGCAACCCACAATGGCTCTCGCAAACGAACGGAGTCGACGCCTTCGGCAACGCTCTCACTCTCGACACCAAGGTCAACACCATGGGAATGATGCCAGATCTCACCATCCGGGACCTCCTCGATACTCAAAGCGTGCCGCTCTGCTACAGATACGACTACTAAATTTCCCTTTGTCTTGTCTCATGCCTTGCTGTGCGTCTTTGGGCGTCTCTCTCGACTCCATTCCACAAGCAAGCTGTTTTTTTTTCCAAATTTGTTTTAAAATAACTATAGTTTTACACCCTGTGTATACATTTTACTCTTCTTCTATGCCTCCTTTTTTGGCTTGTAAAATGATACAAATCGCGCCGAATGCGCCATGATGAAGTGAAGTGAAAAAATGGTTGCTGTCGTCCAGGCAGCACAGTGTTTGATTGTGGAAGATTTGATACCAATGACTTGGGACCGTGTAAGGATGCGCTTGATTACTGTTCTTAGTGTTTTTGAAATGTCGGTTATGGTGAAGCCTTGAGAGGAACACAACTCGTTGCGCGCCAGAGATTTTTGAGATAACCAGCGAATACGAAATCCTCGTCCCGGGTTCAAGCTTTGCTACTAGGAACGTGTGTGTAGAATTGCGCAGACTAGGTAGCCAGGTCGAGGTCTAGAGAGTCGGTGAGGTGCTGTAATGTCCGCGACCAGCTATGTTCTTCCAATTTCTTGACCAAGCATGTGAGCTCACTTGCTGGGGCATCGTTCCTAGAGTCAGATGATAATACAGTCGGTGTGTGTTCGAACATGCCTTAATATCGAACCGTATCTTTTGAGTAATACTGCTACCATTTCAGGGGTAGCAAAGACAGACCACAATGGCGAGTTGGACAGCCAGGGCTATGTGAATTCCATACGAAACACACCTTGCATGTTTTGGAGGGGTTTACAGGAGTGGAATTTGTCTTTCTTTTCTTTTTTTTCTTTTTTAAAAAAGTCTATGCCCAGGTCAATCTCGAGACACTCCCATTGATCTGCTTGCAAAAGTAGTAACTCGCCCTCATGACGAAGTTTGGGAGCGCAGTAAGTATTTCGAGGCGCCCCATGAATTGATATATATGAATCATCGGAACGAGCAGTAGTTTTGACATCTTGCATTTTCAGGTTGGCAAGATAGTTGACTGTCAAATAGATATAAAACTTCTAATGTATCTTATTCCGTCTAGCCCTTTTTCAATCATGAAATGGTGACTCTGTAAGTGAAGTTCAAAGCCTTATCTCTAGTTTAACCCCCTACCATTAGCTATGCTTTTTCCTTTGCACAAAGGGGTGAGCAAGCCACCGCTACAACTTTTCCTCCTGGAACGCCGCATCACGTGAACAGGAGTGACTTTGAGCATCCCAGAAAAACTGATAAGGCTCAGCCAATCTATCCCGTTGGAGTGAGAAATACCAGGATGTTGACACAAATTAATTATTTTTGGCCCCCCTGTTCGAATCGGTTGTCGGCAAAACCTTACGGCAGCATGCAATTTCGGCGTCGTCATCAATAAGCTACGGTACGGTAGCTACCGTTCCCCTTGCTGACGTGTTCACTTTTTGCACTTCCTCGATGAATCCCGACACTGTCTACTACTCGTTTAAACAGATATACGCGAACGCCGAGTTCCATGCTCCAGGGGAGGCTGCACAGTGGAGTGTTGGGTATGGCGCTCTCATACACCCGTGGTATGAGAGTGCGGCGTGCTCGTATTGTTCAAGGCAATATGTATGCAACAGAGTTTGAAAATCGAGTCCTGGCAGCAATCAGTACGGTTGTTTGACGCATTTGGTAGGAAGCAGCCGGTTCAAAAAGTTTGTGTTCGTATCCATGTCCCTAAAGCAGGGATGGCATGGATGGAATCGAGATGTACATAGTAATTGCAGTCACGTACCTTTTGCCCATACTACCTCGTCCAAGCAAAAGTTGCGACTGGTGTCGCATTTGAAAGTGCTCCTTTGGGATCCTGGGATGGAGCCTGTAATGGCCTCTGCATCGCGATTAAATCTCCCGGGGATAGCCATCGCTGTAGGTATAAGGAAACGCATGTACCATAGACACTTCATGGCGGCGACTGGAGCTCAGGGGTATGCTGGGACGGATGGAGTCCTTGCAACAAGGCAAGGATAACAAACTTTCCTGTTGACACGCATGCTAAGTTTCCCAATCCGGATATTGATATACCAGACTTTGCACATCGTCATAACCTTAAGGAGACTCGTCAGGAGGGACAGAAGTGTCATAATTTGAATATATATGCATCTTCCCGCTGTCATGCAACGTGTATGGGGCCAAAAAAAATTACCATTCGCTACAACAAAGCTTGACGCTCGAATATTGCGCGACGCTGCACAAATGATACAAGTACCCGTCATCCAGCACACTATGTTCCACGATGTATCGAGCTAGTGCACACCCGTACATTCGGCGACATATGAAGGGTTCTGTACGGCATTCATGTCAAAGTAGGTAACTAAGGAAAAACACAATGTTTTTAAGCTTTAGTCAAGGTTACACCGTGTGCTTGGACATCACATTCACAACAGCTTTGTGATAAGGCTATGGCGAGTGATTTGTACCGGACTTGTAAGATTTTCTTCAACGTTTTAGGAAATGTTATATACGATCACACTGATGCAAGCATACAGTAGGCGTATACAACAAGACAAGAAAATTACTTTCAAAAGTACAAGAAACGACCAATGACCTTACATAAGAGGTGTATTCACAACCTCCCCTAGCATCAAAACACCACACCAGACTCTCACCCATCCACTCAAAAGATACTCTCTCCAGCCCTCCCCTCCATCAAACACTCCAACGCCTTCCCAACCTCCTCCAACACCCCCTCGGCCTCCCCAATCCACTCCTCAAACGTCACAATCTCAATCCCCAACTTCCTCCCCCCATCCTTAACAAACGCCTGACACTTCCACTCACGCAAAGGCTCAGCATGCGGATACAGCGTCTGAAACTTGGCCTCGACGCCATTCCCAAACGGCATCTCCTCGACCCAGGCCGGCGCCTGATGCACGACCGTATCGAACCACTGCACGCTCTCGGGATCCCAATGCGTGCAATTCTTCACAATCTCGCTGAAGCCCATGGATTCGTACGCAGCAGAGGTCATGTGCTGGTCTTGGACGTATCGGAGGAGATCGAGGTAGGACCAGGATTTGGAGAAGGCGACGCGGAAGGGGATGTATTGCCAGGTGGGACCGAAGATGCGGTCGGCGTTGGGGGCGCCCACATTGCGGCCCGAGACGACTTCGCCGAAGACGACGTCGGTGCGGGAGAGGCGGCGGGAGAGGACGAGGGCCCAGGCGGCGGTGGGGAGAGAGCCGATGGTGATGTTGGCAGGGCGGCGAGAAATGTCGAATTCTTTGTAGATGTCTGCGGGGCCGCGGTGGGTGAGTGGGATGCTGGGTTTCAAGACGGTCATTTCGGAGCCGGAGAGGAGGTTCTTCCAGTATGGGATTGCTTTGGGGATGTTGTCTAGGACAACGTGGTTGATGTGTTTGCTGAAGGGTACGGTTTCAGGGACTGTGGTGCCGGCGTATAGGGCGGAGAGCTGCTCGAAGAGTATGGGCAGGCAGATCTCGTCGTACTGGGCGTGTGAGATTCGGAAGACGAGGGTGGAAGCGCCGTTGGTGTGGGTGAAGAGATTGAAGGCGACGAAAGATGATCCGTATGGCTTGGGTGCTTCGATGTCCTGTTTGATGCCTGCCTGGATGAAGGCATCAGCATCTTCACCGTCTGGAACCGCAGTCTCAGTGTAAGGCACTACAAGTGAGGACAGAACCACACCGAGTGTTAAACCGTCATCTTTGACAAAAACAGTGCGCAGAACCTCATTGCGTGCCACGAGCTCCTGGCATGCTTGCTCGAGCCTCTGACGGTCGATCGGAGTGGCAAACTTGATCAGCTCATAACGTAGTGAGTACCGTGGTAGGTCCACGGTTCCCTCAACTGCGAGTTGCTGCAGCGGTCTCGTCGGGTAGATATTCGTGATCTCCCATCCCTGGTTTTCAAGGTACAGGCCAACGCGATCAGGACTGTGGAGATTGGCGTCCTTGCCAAGCGCAATGAAAGGTGCATCAGTATCAACCCGGGGCTGCGATGGTGTCTCTTCTTCAGCTGAAGACGCGAGTTCGGCAAGGGATTTGCTCTGAAAGACCTGTGCAACTGTAATGTTGAGCCCTTGCGCGCGAGCATCTGAGACCAGCCTCATTGCGCCGATAGAGTCACCTCCCAACTCGAAAAAGCTGTCACTGCTCTTGATATCAGTCTTGGCCATACCAAGTATACGGCTGAGAATCTCTGCCAGCTTGTCTTCCCGTTCATTGCTTGCTGAAGCAGCCAGGTCAGACAAGGAGCTGCTTTGGAAGACCTGGGCAACCGTCAGGTTAAGGCCTTGAGCGCGGGCGTCAGAAACGAGACGCATAGCACCAATGGAATCTCCGCCCAGGTCAAAGAAGCTATCACTTGGCCTGATGTCAGTTTCCTTCATGCCCAAAATGCGACCCAGAATACTTCGCAGTTTCTCCTCGTTGGGCGACAGCTCCTTCAAGCTAGCATCCATGGATTCGGGCCCATCAACCGGCGACATGCCCAGTGCACTGTCACTCATGACATCTCTTGGCCTCATAGCCTCCGCATCTTGAGCTTCCACTGGATCTAGGACTGCCACATCGCCCAGCTTGCTCTCGGGGTTACCCAAGAAAGCATGAACGATTCGGTCGAGTACAGCAAGCACTCTCTCCATTGCCTCTTTGCTGATACAGTTGGAGTCGAAACTAGCCATGACCAGGAAGCCGTTCTCTTCGAGCGTGCAGACAAGCATCAGAGCATAAGTGTTGAACTTGAGTGCCTCGCGTGCTCCTTCTGCATCATTGGCGGGAAGGAATGTGTTTGCAGGATTACGTATATCGACTGTGCCCCAGTCTTCATCTTCTTTGGGATGTAGTACAAGACCGGTACGAAGGTCGCATGCAACACGTGCGTCCTTGCTCAGACGGCGGATATTCTGGAGGCCCAAGTGCTCATGAGGAATCTGTTTTACGGTCTGAGCATGGATTTTTTGGAGGTACTCGGCAATAGGGCGATCGAGACTAAGGCGGACGCGGATAGGAACGGTTGTGATCATTGGTCCTTCAATCTGCTCGATACCGGGAACGGGCGCTGAGCGACCGGTAAGTGTTTCGCCAAAGACAATATCTGGATGACCCATGTACAGCGATGATACAAGAGCCCATGCGCCGCGGATGATGGTCGCTAGAGTAAGCTTGGAATGTGCTGAGGTAGGGACTGTAACGTAGTGCTCGAGCAGGGAGTCGGCCTGAGTAGTGTATCCCTTTTGCGGCAAAGGAGGGAACTGATGGGGGATTGTGCCTTCTAGACGCTCCTTCCAGTACTGCTGAGCATCGGCTGGATCGAGACTGATGAGATGCTTGATGAAGTGTTTGAAAGACGATGGTCGCTCGGTATGAAGGCCATTGAAAGCACGATTGACGCGATCGAATACAAGAGGCATCGACCACCCATCATAGACGGCGTGATGCATCGTGATGACAAAGTTCATCTTGTCACTTCCAGGTTCTTCGACGAGGCCATAACGGAACAAGGCAGTCCCGAGATCCATAGGCTCATTCCTATCAAGTCTGAGGTACTCGGAGACTTCAGTGCTATACTCGCGTACTAACTGCCCATCCTTGAGTACAACCTGGAACAAGCCTCGACCAGAGACGTTGATGATTCTCGTTCGCAAAATTGGCGAGCCTTGCACAGCGGTGTCGAAAGCTTCTTTCAAGCGCACGGCCGTTTCTGCTGGGAGCGTTGCAACACGCTGAGCAACGTATGCATCTTGGAATTTGGCGGACAGGGCAATGAGACCCTCTTGAAGAGGCGTACAAGGATAGACATCCTCTACGTTTGCAACATCAACACCGCAAAGTCTCGCGCTCTCTTGTCGTGCTGCATCAACATCCCAATCCTTTGCAATCATAGAGAATGGAGGAACATCACTTGTCTCTTCTGCAGAGACTGGTTTGGCCTTTTCAGCCATGGACGATAGTGTCGGGTTAAGCATGATATCTGGTACGCTCAATACGACTCCTTCATCCCTCGCAGCAGCTACCAATCTCATTGCTCTCAGAGAGTCGCCGCCCATGCTGAAGAAATTGTCGTTGGCGCTGAAATCGGCGTCTCCGCCGAGCAGCTTCGCCCAAAGTGACTGAAGCTTCAGCTCCATTTCTGTTGTAGCCTCTTTCTTCTCGGATACAGCTGAATTGAAGCGGCGGAGATCCTGACGAGTGACGGAAGCACCAATCTCACGCAGCCGCTTCCGATCCGTCTTGCATGAGACGAGTAGAGGCATCTTCCAGAGCGGAATGTAAGCGCTGGGTATCATGTAACTAGGCAGATCAACAAAGAGTTGCTTCGTCATATCCCTGAGAGCGTCCTGGAACTTATTGGTAAAGCTTCCGAAGACGTTACCGTCGAGGTGACGCATTCCGTTCTTCTTCTGCTCGACGAGAAAGGCGACCAACGTCTGCTCGCCACCACCACTTGGTTTAATGACTTCAGCTGCCAGCTGCGTATCAGGAGGTAGATGCTTCTGCATGTTGAATTCGATTTCAGCCAGCTCGATACGCTGTCCGCGTAGCTTGACCTGCTGGTCCTGGCGTCCGACGAAGATGGGCTCGCCATCACCATCTGGGTCAAAGCGCACCAGATCACCGGTCTTGTAGATGCGTCCATGTCGGCCGGGATAGCTCTTACTGCCTTTGAGCAAGAACTCCGGGTCTTCGATGAAAACCTCCTTTGTCTTGGAGGGGTTATTCAAATAACCATTACCGACAATTGGGCCTTCAATCAGCAATTCGCCAACTGCACCAACAGGTACTAGCTTGTTGTGATTCTCAGGGTCACTAAGCCAGAGGGCACAGCCTTTGCGTTTACCCATTGTGATGTAAGGTTTGGCCGCTACATTGTCATTGATAGTGGCGCCCACGGTCGCCTCGGACGGGCCGTAAGCATTCACGACTCTGGTCCTCTGACCCCACGACATGGCGTCGCTTATCGAGACACCCTCACCTCCTAGCGCGATAGATTCGAGATTGTTCAAAATATCTACTTCCAGGGTTCGAGCGACCGATGGGGTCATGCCGGCAAAGGTGACCTGCATGTCACGCATGGCGCCACTCATGTCGTTCATGCGTCGCTCATCTGAAGGTGTGCAAAGTGTGGCGCCATGGGCCAGTGTGCAGAGCATGGAGTCGATGCACACATCAAAAGCGTAACTTGCAAAATCCAGCACGCGAGAATGTGGATAGTATCCCACAGCTGCAGCGCGCGGTATCGCACCAGAAGTATACTGGCTGTGGGTGAGGATACATCCCTTTGGAACACCTGTACTTCCGCTGGTGAACTGAATGTACAACGGCTGATCCGGCGAGACAGGCGGAAGTGTAGTATTCGGTTGCTCCGCTGTGTAAGGAGAAAAGATCTTGTTGAACTTGGATTTGGATATCGGGATGATGGTAGCAGCAGGTGCCACTCGCGCTGCAAGGGTCGATTGTGCTTTGGAAGAGAGGAAAATTTTGGCATTGACTTGCTGGACCACGGCTCGTAACCGACCTTCTGGCTGAGCTGGATCGAGCAGTGCAAAGCATGCGCCAGATTTCATAATCGCGAGCACTGCTACTGATGTCCACCTCGACTTTTCGAACAACACTGGGATAATCCGGTTGGACGAGTCATCCAGCAATCGGAGCAACTTTGCCAGTTTGTCAGAGTAGTCTTCGATCTGGCCATACGTCAAGGTGCCATCCCAGGCATCTATCGCGATCTTTTCTGGATGCAGCGCAGCTCTCTCAGACACCTTCTCGTGCATACAGAAGCGAAGCTCAGGCTGTAGGGGCGTATTCCAGCTCCACAGCTCGTCGAGTTCGTCTTCGGAGACATTGTGAAAATGGGAAAGCGGATGATCAGCACCTTTGAAAAGGGATTCAAGAATCAAAGCAAAAAAGTGTAGCTGTGAGACAGCCTGATGTCGAGCCATGGTAGTTGTTTGCCATGTTGAGGTGGCATGTAATGTGTCTTGTCGAACATTGAGTAAGACTTCAAACGTCCACTATGTATTGTTAGCTTTGTGTTTGGTTTAGATACATTGTAGAAATTACCTCTTCAGTAGTGCCATCGTTGAGGAAAAGGGTCGTCTCATTGAGCGTGTACTGATTCGACTTGACGCTGCTGATTTTCGTTCTCAGACTCGCAGCTGTTTGTTGGTTTGCCCAGTCGATGTCAGTGACAGAAATGCACTGTGTCGCAGCATTTTCTTGGTCTTTCTGTCCCCAAGTGAACTGGTGAAAGACGTCTCGTTGGTAACGTTGTATGAGTATTGCCCAGGCTGTCAGGACCGTGTCCAGCACTGAGTCTCGATCTGTGCCATTAGGCAGATGTACCTGAATATCATTTGCTTTGGAGGCATTTTCGTTTGTGTGCTTAGCTCCAGTGGGGTTCTCTGATTGCAAGGCGTGTTCCTGAGCGTCGAAACCATTGCTATTTTGTACCTTCTTCGCAGCAGGTTCCTCGGAAACGCCACTGAAGCGCACAGTGTTTTCTCTGCCATTGGGAAGATGCATCTTGCTATCCAGACTAGAATGTGGTCTCTTCATACCTAGGACAATAAACGTGTTCCCCGACGTCGGCGGTTTGAATATAATGTCAGTCTTGGTGGAGCACGACTCAAAAGCCCACTCTTTAGTAGTGGGTGAGACGAAGCAAATGCAGAATAAAACTACCCATGCATCACCACTCTGCATTCAGCCTTCATCCCGCAATTGGGCCTAGCTCTCCATACAGCAGGTTCGGGTGATACCCCGGCTTTTGTCCATCAGTCCGCTACGGTCTCTTGATCGGACTTCTGTCGGCATCACTGCTTTCATACACCTGACAAAGGCAAATTCTGCTCGTTTGCCCCGGTAAACAGCTCAAGTCGACTGCATTGCTCATTCTGTCACGTAAGTGCGCAGGGAAGAAGCACACTCAGGGCAGTACCGGGGTTTAGCTGTAATGAAAACTCTCCTGACAATGGATAGCCACCCCACATATAGCGGATCAGATAATCTTAGCGCCCATGGGCAGCGTCATGAGTTTTCATCTGATAAATTTGGTGGGAGGCCAATGCAAGCACGGAACGGCCAGGCTGGGAAAAGCGCATGCAGGGTTACGTCGCCAAAGGTGCTCATCAGTTCCATCTGATAACGGCAGGGGTTCCGAATCCTCCAGGGCTACTGCCAATGACGCGCCTTAGGCCCGCATACTTTGCTGATCCATGGCGTTTGGCGGCCAGGGGGGGTTGTGCTGCTTGGCTATGAGAAAAATTATCTGCCGAATGTCACGGGAATATTGGGATTGGGGCCCGCACAACGCTCGGCATCAATCATCCTGCTACACCCGCATCTGAAATCAGCGGCGTATTTCCTTGACCTTCCTATGTCGTAATGGTCGTTCATATTTACTCTGTTGCTGGTCTTGTCATGCTACGCAGCTGACAAGGTTCCAGACTCGGTCCTGTACTCTAGCTTGGCAGGTGTAAGTTTCGCTTAGGGCGGATCTGATAACTTTGATTTACACGTGCGAAGAGCTATACTACTAGCAAGACATTCAGGGTCTCTCCGGTAGGGGCTACCTGTCCGTCCACGGCACGATAATTTTTTTCCCTCACCCCGATGACCTTTGAACGCTAGTTTCTGCGCGATTTCTAGTGCAGCGGGGCAGGTGATCAATTCAGTGATCGGCACGACATGCTTGTACACATGGCGCGCCATTCTCGTCCGCTTCGTTCTCTCAACATTTCTAACCGACATCCAATGCATCGTGAGCCTCGGCGCCTGTAGTGTGAAGCTTAGCTTTGTAGTTATTCTCCAAGATTGTGAATCCTTTCTCGTAATCTGTACGGAGTTGTTCACTCAGTTGTGAAACCTTGTCGTATCATCGATCCATCCTTATCCTGTTCGAAGACCATTCGATCCAGCACTCACCTCTTCTGCTTGTCTACCAAACAGGTCAATCTTTGACCCGCCGAAAACAATGGGTTTCGTGGTGCTCCCCGCTCTTGCACCGGACATCAGCGACGTATACGATGTGTATTTTGAGACATTCAAAAACAACCCAGTTACACGTGCCTTGTTTCCCTCGGTCACAGAAGCCGATTTGATCAACCCAAAATCTGAGTTTCGGTACGTGTACTCCATTCTTGTCTTCTCCACCCTCTCTTGCTGTTGCGTAATATTGCAATGTGGGCTGATCTCGCCAAGACAAGGGCACACGAATCATGTTCAAGAGTGGTCGAAGACCAGCCAAACGCAGTACACTTTGAAGTGTGTCGATACCGAATCCAACAGAATAGTCGGCATGGCAATTTTCGACATATACATCGCACCCAGCGACTGGAAGCGAGGTGAGATGTCCTGGCTGCACGGAAAAGAACGGGAACAAGCCGAAGCATTGATCAGCCCGCTTTGGGATGCTAGAGAGAAGCTCTGGCTCAACGAAAAGTACATCTATGGCCACGTAATCGCTGTCCATCCAGACTACCAGCGAAAAGGTGTCGGAGAGAAAATCTTTAACTACGGCATCACTGTATCCCAAAACACTGGACTACCGATTTACATTGAAAGTTCAAAGGATGGTGTGCATTTTTATGAGAAGATGGGTTGCAGGAGATTGAAAGAAACCCTGAAGCCTTCACTGCAGAGTATCAAGTCAGTAGAAGGTAAAGACTTGAAAGTAGATGACAATCTCCCTTTGTTCGTATGGTTACCCGAAGGCGCAGAGAAGAAGCTGCCCGACGCTGTGCAGTTGGCATAATGGCTATCATTACCTAGAAATATTATACCATAGTATTTATCCCAACATTTGGTGAAGGGCATTGACACGGTAGCTTTCGCTGCGCTGTACAAGCTCCTCGTGCCGTCCCTGGTCCACCACCTTCCCAGCCTCAACCAAGAATATAACATCAGCCCTTGCAATCGTCCGCAACCGGTGTGCAATTGCAATTACTGTGACTCCGTGGCCCTTCACGGCGTGCTCAAGACCAAGTTCTAGGGCCTTTTCACTTTCCGCATCCAGCGCACTGGTACTCTCATCTAGAAGAAGTAGTCTAGGCTTCCGTACTAGAGCTCGCGCAATGGAAAGGCGCTGACGCTGCCCACCAGAAAGTTGATTTCCACTGGATCCGCACTCAGTGTCGTATCCCTGTGGGAGATCCATAATGGTTTCGTGAATGTTTGCCAACTTGCAAGCTTCGTGTATCTCTTCATCTGACGGTACATGGCCGGGTCTCGCTCCCAATGAGATATTAAACTTGATGCTCCCTTGGAAGAGTACATTCTCTTGTGGCACGTAAGCAATGTCGTCTCGGAACGAGGTTCCGTGATGACGCGATATGTCAAGGCCATTAATGAAGATGCTGCCCGTTGAAGGCAGGTAGAATCGTTCCAAGAGTGCTAGTACAGTGCTTTTTCCTGCGCCAGAAGGCCCAACCAGAGCGCAAAACTGACCTGGTTGTATTGAGAGAGACAGTGATGTGAGGACTGGAACGCCAGGACGAGCCGGGTAGGAAAAACTGACATCTTGGAATACAACCCTAGCGCCGCCTTGTGCTGATGTTGGTGACGTTGACTCAGCCAGCGCCTCAACATCGTCTCCTTTCTCCTGCAAGTCGCGATCGGGTGTAGCCTTGCCATTTCTTATGCCAGGTGCGTCTGTTCCTAGTTCAATGAGCCCGCATATGCGTGAGATGGCGCTCTTTGCCTTTGCGATTTCTGGGGCTAGTGTAAATAGTTGACCCCAGAGCTGGGCGGAAACAAGCATCGCAATAAGAATGATGAAAAACTGAGTCTGGGTGTATCTTCCCTCGATGATGTTCTTTGATCCCCACCAGTACGCAAAGGCGTAGATGAAGCTACCACAGGAATTGGCGACAGCTAACCAGACATTTGTCTTGAAACTTTGTGTTACCATTTCCTTCCTGGGAGCCTTGAGAGATCTTCGGTACGTCTGTAGGATTTCGTCCTCGATCGAAAGAGCATGCACTGTTTTGATGTTCGAGATCGCTTCAATTGTAACACCAATGGACGACGAAAATGCCCCGGCGTGCTTGACAGCGAAGCGACCAATTGCGCGTAACTGCATGTACCCGGCGCCAAGAAGCAGCGGCACTACCACGAGGCATACGATTGCAATCCGCCATGCGATGATGTGCGATAGGACGATGGCGGCTACAAAGTTGACAACAACAGAAAACAAAGTCCCGACAATGGAACCGCTAAATCCTGCAAGTGAGTTTCCATCTTTGGTGATGTACTCAAGTAACATTGAAGGATTTCTCGCCTCAGACTCATGCCATTGCAGAGGCTGATGAAGGAGCGTCTGCAGAGTCAGGTTACGAACCTTGTAGATCAGTCGCTCCGAGAGAAGACCAAACGCTGCCCAGCTGGTAAAATTGGCAAGGAAAGCGATGCAGGCCAACATGAACCAAAGCCCAGAGAGCAGCTCGCCTCGGGAGCGAATGTAGTCTGGATCATTACAGGGAGACATAAGACCCATAATGTTACCGAAGAGAAGACCAGAGCCACAGTACTGGCCGCCGACTATCAACGCTGCAAAGAACGCTAACAGGATAAGAAGCGTATATGGCCGGATCAAGGGGAGCATCGTTTTCCTGATAGATCCCTCAACAACAGCGCCTTTTAGTGTTTCGGCAGAGTCTGGGCTGCTCGAGTCGTGTACGGGCGTAGAATCAGCTTCTGGCGCTTTGAGTGCTTGCTTTTCGTCCGACAAAGTATCGGCATCGCGCGATTCTAGACTGGCTCTGGAGCTGGAAGGTCCATCTTCTGCCTTGACAGTCTGTAAGCGGACCATATCCGCATATGATCCATTCAATTCCAAAAGTTCTTCATGAGTACCTTGCTCCAAAATATCGCCCTTTTTCATGACAACGATCTTAGAAGCAGCTCTAATGGTAGAAAGTCGATGCGCGATTGAAACCACAGTTCTCCCAGCAGAAGCACGTTCAATAGCGGCCTGAATGCGCTGCTCACTTGCGGAATCTAAAGCTGCAGTGGCTTCATCCAGAATGAGAATCCTAGGATCCCGAACAAGTGCTCGAGCAAGGGCGATTCGTTGCTTTTGTCCGCCACTAACAAGACTTCCGCTTGAGCCAACAGTGGTACCAAATCCAAATTCTAGCCTGTGGATGAATATTGCCACGTCGGCAAGGTCGGCGGCCTGTTGCACGAGTTGGACAATTTCTACAACCTGGGCATGTTTGTGTCAGCACAGCGACCATTCAATTCGAATTCTTTCAAAACATGACTCACCTCTTTTCCAGCTTTCTCAGCCGCTTCATTGAGCTGACTTCCTTTCCTGATATCTTCAGCGACCTTGGCAAGAACTCCACTCAGCAAGGTCTTCTCTAGATGAGCATGAGGTGGGGAGTTGACTAAGCCGAGGGCGATATTCTCGAGAATCGAGCGATCCAAGAGCGATGGTTCTTGTTGAACTAGACTGATGAAGCCTCGGAGATTTTTGACATTGATGTCTTTGATACTACGGCCATCTAGCAGCACATCTCCTGATTGCGGATCGTAGAAACGGCTAATCAAGCTCGCTATTGTCGATTTTCCGCTTCCAGACAAACCAACAATGGCGGTCAACTGGCCTAGAAGAGCCATTTAATTAGCGCTCTATATATTTCACGATTTGGGGGCTAGATAAGAAACTTCATCTAGAACAAAGTGTACGCACCAACTTCACATTTCAATGAGATGCTATTCAGCACGGGATGATCAGGCCGAGATGGGTATGTAAAAGCAACATTGCGAAACTCAATCGCTCCTTCCACATTGGGAAGCTTCTCCGCAGCGGTGGAGGTGTTGTCGATGGTGGGTTCGGTTTCAATGTCTTTTCGCAAGCGCTCGAATGCAGCTATGGCGCCTCCAAATAGTGGTAGCATGGGCGCAATCTGACTCAGAACAATAGCGCCTATATTTCCAACATTAACGTATGTAATACGCAAATCAAGGCTTTGAACTTACCATCTAGAAGAATAAATGTGACTGTGTAGATTTCTCCAATAGTCGCACTACCCTTGCCCTCAAGAGAATCTGCAACTCTGCGACTACCCTGCCAATAGCCAAGTGCGCTGGCGGAGAAAGCAAAGAAATAGAGTAGTCCAGCCTGAACAGCAGCAGCAATTGCTTTCTTGATACCCTGATCTCGTGCACTTTCCAGGTGCCCCTTGAACTTCTCTTCAAGTCTAGTATCGGCCCCAAGAGCATGGACAAGACCGACATGACTGAGAGCTTCAGACGCGATGGCGCTGGCGGATCCAAAGCATTCCCCCAACTTGGTGCTATACTTTCCTACAAAGTGACCACCAATTACTGCCATGAGCAAGAATGCAGGGACGAGAGACACGAGCATGCCCGCTAGCTCGGCATTCTTGATAAAGCCGACAATGTACGCGGTGACACAGAAGGATATGCATGTCAGAGCAACGCCAACCTTTTCACCGGTACCACTTTCGATTGCTTGAATGTCACCATTCAGACGAGAGGATACTTCACCAGCTTGGAGCTTATCGAAAAAGGTCATGTCTTGTCGTAGGAGATTGCGGAGGTAGCGATCCCGAACACGTTGAGCCAGCCTTTGAGAAGCCAAATTCCAGCATACAAGATGCGTGTAGATGCAGGCAAAACTGGCAATGGCAATGTAGACCAAGAGGAGAATTTTGGGCGTGATATCAGATTCCTCAGATGGCGTGGAGGTGCCAGCCCGGTTGTTACAGGTCACAGTGTTGATTTCATCAACGAGTTGGCCGAAGACAATTCCTATGAGTGGGAATGGCACGCCTGCTGCGATAGCAGCTATGGCGCCAACGAGAACAAGTATCCTGTCGAGCCATGTGGGATCCGCGTAAAAGAGGAGATGGAGGAAGCCGAAGAAGGGCTTAATAGAGGCCCGCGAGGGCATGCTGATAGGCATGGAACATACAAAGAGTGTTCAACTGCTGATGAGGAGGTGTCTCTCGCCGAACGATTCCATGAAGCTGTGCGAGGACATCTGCATAAGGGCAGCTAGGCGCCATGGCCCCACTGAGAGGCGACGGCCAGGATCGACACGGGGCGGGCGGTGGAAATTGCTCGTGTCGTGTCCATTGGGAACAGCATCACGTGAAATCAATGCGTAGTGGATGCAATAGTACTAGGGGGTTAGAGTAGGTACATAATGCAAATGTGGGCTGAGCTTGGGGAGTGGAGAATGGACGTCTATGGGTGTGTGACTTGGCAACAGGCGATACTCGGACGTGGTCAGTGCAAATGCATGTGTGAATGCAAGCGACGCATGGGCCGCGTGGATTACTCGGAAGATCAGATAAAAATTTCGCTAGCTCTACACCGTTTTGGACAACCGCCACCCACGTCGTTCACTCTATATCCTTGCCTGCACTTGGACCGATGAAGCACCATCCCCTACTTCCTTGGACCCTTTGGATGCCTGGTGCACAATTTCTCCCGCCATCAACGCTACGTCCTTGGCCAATGTCCGCCCTCCATCGGACTTTGAGGACACCAACCACAACCGACAACCCTCTGTAATAGCGCCGCGCTTGAACTGCACCTCTTCCAGGCTTTCTCCCTTGGGCCGACAGCCTAGAATGATCGAATCCACGCTCTGGAACAGGGTAGAGTTTGAAAAGGGATTTGTCGCCGTGTCTCTGATGATGACGTCTGAACCCGAGCATGCAGCAGAAGCGTCTTTTCCAATAATGACGCGAAGTCTGAACGCGCCCTTGGATTGGACTTGCTTTTCGTAAGCACGCATGTAAACTCTCTGAATTTGCTCTGGTGCTTCCGTGACAGATGGCGCCTGACAACTTGTCGGCTTCGCCCAGATCGAGCACAGCTGGGGCTGTGGGGGCTTTGCATCGTCCAGAATCCTCAACGGAGCAAGCGAGTCACTCTCCGTTACCACTGTGATGTTGCCTAGGCGAGGACAAGACAGCAGATCGTCTACAATCTCGACCATATTCTCGCCGGAGCCGACTACGGATACGTTGAGTCGTGGCTCGTTGGCAGCTCGCAGCTCATTTCTTCGCGAAGGATAATCGTCCATAGAGATGATGCGCTGGCCCGCTAAGAAGTCTGTTGTCGGTAGTGATTGTGCGGCTGGTACACTGGTCCGGGATGGAGACGGTGCAACAACACTCCTCGCCCGCACCACCCATGTTTTCCCGGTATTGTCCTTGATGGCTACCCTCCAGCCTTGTACAACATCTCTTTCGACTTCTGGGGCTACCCCGACAACCTCGCTACCATATCGTACATCGTTCTTGAAATGCTCAGCACTCCACTTCATGTAGTCGGCAAATTCTTCCCTCAAAGGGTTGAGACGATCTGAGTTTGCAAACTCGATAAGCCGCTTGCGATTGAGGAGGTAGTTGACGTAACTAAAGGCTGTTCTCGGATTACGAAGTGTTGCCAGGTCGTACATGAATGGGCTTTCCATTCGTGTCCTTGATAAATTTGAATTCGAGCCCCATGAGAATGATGGCTTCTTTTCGACAAAAAGCACCTTCAATGGTGCCCGAGACTCGCTGTTCGCAATAGCCGTAGCCAGCTGCGCTGCTCCGAAGCCAATGCAAACGAGGTCATACAAAGGTGTAGGTTGCGCCATTGATGAAACTGGTGCTGTGTCCATGTTGCTGCTTGTTTCTTTGGCGGAGGTTATTGTGTGAGTGTGGAAGATGGTAGAACAAGGACAGACACCGCGCGTTGTTATGTTTGAAAGCAGTAAGTTCTAAAACGTGATATGGCACTAGCAGTTTAATTTCATACCACAGCAGCAATCATGCACAACTCGTACGCAGAACAAAAAGATCCGAGCTTTGTCCAGCAACGGTCAGGCACCCCGATATCCAGGCTCAAAACAACGATGTCACCGAAAACTATTGTGGGCCGCATGGATGCGCCGTAAGTGCACGCCACACATGTACGACAACTTGCATGGGTGGGAGGATGGTAGCATACTAAGACCCACATGGTGCGATCAGCCACCCACCCGGGACTGTCATCGTACCATGGCCACCCACGCAAGCGCTGGCAAGTGTTGCCCGTCAATGGCTAGCATTTCCACATCATTTGTTCCGGTTACTAGGGACGACCTCGGTTAAACAGCCGCGGGGCAGCTGTATCCAAGTTGAATGCCTTCAAGCAACACATCCCGGCTATGAAAAGGTCCTTTAAACAATCTCCTTCTCTGCCAGCGCAAAACCCAATAATCAAAAATGAGCCAAAAAACGAAGCCAACTGCGGCGGAAGAGCCATTCATCCTCAAACTTCCTCACCCATATCTTACCGCATACGCAATCGTCAATGACGCTCCCAAAGGAAAACCTATCAACAATAAGATCCGGATTTCCTCAGCGAACACAACTGGCAAGGAGGTCACTCCACCAGTTGTATTGCACAATGAGGATGTCTCGTTCAGTGGTATCGGTTCACTGAGCCAAGACAGTGTGCCACCAAAGGGCGATAACAGTTCTTGGGCGCGCGCTCGACGATCACCCCATGTAACTATTACCTGGAGCCAGGACAAACCTACTGTCCCACAGGTTTGGCTCATCGCTTATGCGTTGGTCTCGCTGCATCCTCTGATAGAAAATTTCCGCGTTATTCTCTCCGGCAAGGATTCCAAGTCACTAGCTCATGAGCTGTATGTCACTGGGCTCTTCCACCCCCATCCTAAACCCTCGCGAGCAGAAGCACCTCAAGATGGCCATCTTCTCTTCCGAGGCACATTTTGGCAGGGTGCTGCATCTCCGTTCGGAGCCCGCCCGGTATGGGCACCACACCTCGATGCCTCGGGCAAGCCAGCCAGCAGACAATACCCCCCTTTTCCCTTCCAGAATGCACCAAGTACTCAATTTCCAGCTTTACCCCGACATACTATGCATCCTGTTCGGGAACCCAAGCCAGAGCCAGGGTCCATCATCTATAGCCGGTGGATACCACATCTGAAGGAACACTTCACCATGGTGGCTCTCGACTACACCAACGACGAGCATCTCCACTTATTCAACAAGTGGCAGAATGACCCACGTGTGGCTGCCGGCTGGAACGAGACGGGTACTCTCGATCAGCACCGAGAATATCTCCGCAAACTGCATGAGGACCCCCACGTGCTCACCATGTTTGCCGCGTTTGACGATATTCTCTTTGCTTATTTTGAAGTCTATTGGGCAATGGTAGGTTTTATTTCTGCTTGCTGTGAGGCAATTACGTACTAACAAATACATAGGAGGATCACATGGGCGCTCACTACCAGTCGTCACCCTACGATCGGGGGAGGCATTCCTTGGTAGGGGATGTAAGATTCAGAGGCCCGTACCGTGTCTCTGCATGGTGGTCGGGTCTAATGCACTACATGTTCCTTGATGAGCCGCGCACATGGAACCTAGTGGGAGAGCCTGCAGCCACAAGCAGTACTGTTCTGGCTTATGACTTTGCCCATGGATTCCACGTCGAAAAGCTTATGGATCTCCCACACAAGAGGAGTGCGCTCATGATGGTTAACAGGGAGAAGTTCTTCACTCTGAGTCCATTCACATGGGATGGAGAGAAGAAAGTTAGGCCCAGTCTCGACGCAGGTGCCAAATTGTAATTCATCACTTAGCGCTTTTTCTGATATCTCACGACATCTCATCAATCAATTTACACGACAAGATACAATTTTTTGAACACTCGCCATCTGTGCATGCTGCTTGTCATGAATGTCGGAATGCTCATATTCTGGAGTACGCGTAACTTCGGCTGTGCCAGGGGACGACTCATACCCCACATTAGAGAGTATTTGCATGGCCGTTACAAAACTGGTCTCGCTCGCTGAATGCCACGGCCCCCCGCTGCATCCCACATGCAAAATGCGGATCAGATATTTAACCGCAAATTTTTATCTGATCTGTCCTGTGCGTAGCGCCACACGAGGGTGTTAAATGACCGTGCTAAGAGACTTGCGCGGCTTTATTGCCCGAATATTCGCGCACTAATCCGACGATGGGTGCGTGGGAGTGTAGTGGTGGATTGCAAGACGTAACGGCATTGCAGCCGGCAAGTCCCAATGGACATTGCCACTCCACTTGACGACTCCAACTAGTACAAAGCTCCGCGCTAAAAAAAAATTTACTCGAAGCGCCGGCATGACGTGACAAAGCCTGATGAGGCAGGCCAGCGGATCTGATAACGCTCCATGATGTTCGCCCAGCCATTAGCCGGCCTTCCCAGCCGGCTCTGCCTGCATGTGGCAACGCTAATTTTGATCTGATAAAACTTACGTTTGATCTGATAAAAATTTTGCAACGTCCATGCGCCGACTATTGCAGGACCACATTCAACCCTCACCGACATCGCGCCAGCCATGAGCGGTAGTTGATCTTATCAGATGAGATGAAAGGCAGCCCTTCGCCGGCCAGTGTGACAGGGATCAGCACGCCCCTTGCTGTCACCAGACGCGGCTAGAACTTCACGGCTTGACGACGGCTTTGGACGATCGTCACTCCTTCGAAATAGGGTCCTAGCCATCGTGTGGGGACCCTTGCTGGACTATGCCATGGCGCTGCTAGTTGCAGTGTGTCGGAAAGAGCAGGAGATAAGCTGGTGGATCGGTTGACTCTGTAATGTCGATATTTTTCGCACTCTCTACACTACTCCGGATCAAGCATCATCCGACCCGAGCAATGGCTAATCCCCTTGTGTTTCCAAGATGCAGGAAGGGTGGCACACAGGATGATGCTTCGTTCCGCTCTTGTCATTAGATCCGAGCAATCGGCGAAACACTCATCATCACCTTCGTTGCTACCACGGGCAGATTGAATCAGAAAGTGCCTTGAGGGGTTGGCATCAGGCTTTCGATTGCTCCCAAGTGGCATACGACACGGCTTCTTTTTGGTATCTCACATCGTTTGTGTTCCATTGCCTATGTGCCCAGTTGATTGATCCCATTTATCGCAACTGCTATCGAACATTTTACTTCCCCTTGCTCCCTTGGCCATTATTGCCTGGTATACTACCAATCTTCTGCTGTAGCAAGAACCAGTAGTAGTCCAGAACCAGAATGGCGGAACTGTACGATCAATCTCGAAACGACGCCTTGCAGCGTCTCAACCAAACACTTCTTCAGATCGACCCCTACGATCTTCCACCATACCCCAACCTTTCCATCGTCACAGGGCCCCTCGACCCACCGCTGGTCCAATTAACACTGTCTCAACTACTCCAACAACAAGCCGCACATTACGCCAGTAACGAAGCTGTCGTCATACCATGGACTGGTGCACGCTGGACGTACCAGAAACTATGGGCAGAATCGAGCTTGTTGGCCAGAGCATTGTTGAAAGAAGGGGTTCGACCAAGAGATAGGATAGGCATCATGAGCGGAAATTGTGAAAAGTACATTGCATTATTCTTTGCCTGTGCAAGAGTTGGTGCGATATGCGTCACTCTCAACAATACCTATACTGCAACGGAGATGGAGTTTGCTTTGAAGCATACAAGTACGCCTTCTTTTTTTCCAAACATTGATCACAGAAATTCGTCAGAGGACTAATCAAAGCAGAGTGTAGATTTCTATTTACCACGCCTAACATTGCCCGATTCGACAACATCCCGTTACTGGAAAGACTGAGTCAAAAAGATGTGGCATCAGTACTTCCGGATCTCAAGACCGTATGTTTGATACGAGGTCAACACGACTCCTTTACTACTTACTCTTCCTTCATCGACAACGCTCAATATATTCCTGAGCATATCCTTGACATCTTTGACGGCATAATAAGTCCTCACGACGTAGCAAACCTCCAGTTCACAAGTGGAAGCACAGGCAAGCCAAAAGCAGCCATGTTAACACACTAGTTAGTCCTCTCCCTTCTCTACCCTCTTCCCTCGACAGGCTTCTATGTACATCCAGCCAAACTAACAAGACCATCTCCCAGCAACCTCATCAACAACTCCCGCTTCATCGGCGACCGCATGCAACTCAGCCCCTCCGACACCCTCTGCTGCCCACCCCCCCTCTTCCACTGCTTCGGCCTTACCCTCGGCGTCCTCGCCGTCCTAACCCACGGCTCCACCATTGTCTTCCCAGCCGAAGCCTTCGACCCCGCCGCCTGCATGCGCGCCATCTCCACCGAGAACTGCACCGCGCTGCACGGCGTCCCCGCGATGATGGAATCCATAATGAACGTCCCGCGCCCCGCGGGCTGGCAAAGCAAGCTTCGAACTGGCATCGTAGCCGGCAGCCCCGTCCCCAAATGGCTCATGGAGCGTATGGTGGCCGAACTCGGTATGACGGACTTCACCTCGTCGTACGGGCTCACCGAGGCGAGTCCAACCGTGTTCAACGCACATACGACGGATTCGCTGCATGCACGCTTGACGACTGTCGGTACCGTGCTGCCACATGCTAAAGTCAAGATCGTCGACCGCAACGATCGCGTTGTGCCCATTGGCGTTAGAGGCGAGCTTTGCGTGGCGGGATATCAGGTTTGCCGCGGCTACTGGGAGAACCCGGAGAAGACGGCTGAGCTTATCATCAACGATGAGTATGGGGAGCCGTGGCTGCATACTGGTGATGAGGCCGTGTTGGACGTAGATGGGTATTGTACTATTACTGGGCGGTTCAAGGATATCATTATCAGAGGTGAGTATTCCTTTTTCCCTCCGTTCTTCTATGTGGTGACGTGTGCTGACGAGGTGTGAAATAGGAGGTGAAAATATATATCCTCTTGAGATAGAAGAGCGGCTTGTTGAACACCCAGCTATCGCACGCGCGATTGTCGTGGGCGTCTCGCATCCGCGCCTTGTGGAAGTTCCTGTGGCGTTTTTGCTTCACGAGACAGATAAGCCAAAGCCTGATCTAGCTGAGATACAGGGCTGGGTCAGGAAGGTCTTGGGTAGGCACAAGGCGCCAGTGCATATCTTCTGGTTGGGAGAGGACTGCGATGCGGAGGTTCCGCTGACGGGCAGTGGCAAGATTAGGAAGTTTGTGCTGAGAGATGTTGCTGAAAATTTGTTAAAGGAGAGGTAGATGCTCGTTTTGGTGCATGTAGCGATGCATTCTAACTTGAAATTGGATTTGGTCTCAGATTAGCGGCTTAGGAATGTCATGCTGGTTTGCAATTCTGCATGGTGCTTTTTCAAGAGCTTCATTGTTTGTTGTATGACGTTGGGAGAAAAGTTTCAAGATTGTTGGTTTGCTTGCATATAGGGTTGTCGGCACAGCTCGTGGAAGATGAAGTAACGGTACACGTGGTCAGCGAGTGTGTCTCTTCAGCGGCGAACGTGTACACAAGATCATTCATATCTCTTGATTGTTAAATGATTCTTTCTCCCATCAACCGGTTTATCTTGCATGATGAGAAATATGCAGTCACTGACTCAGCGAGTTCTGTGCTCCAAACATATTCCCTAAAACATAGCTGTACAAGCGGTTATCTTCGCATCAATGTTCAAAGCTTTCATGTACTCGCATCAAAGTAGATCGGTAATTTATCTTTGAAACTCACCAACACAAAGAGGCTTGCTGCTGTTTCTCTCTTCGCGCCTCCAAATTAACGAAAGGATGGCTGTAGAGAATAGTTGATGCGTTAGTATGTATATCGTCACAAATGGTATACTATGTATAATTGCCGTACCAGTTCGAGGATGATGAGTTTCTGATCAATATTTTTCATTATTCTACAGATCCTGATATTGGAGACCAGAAATTTTCAGTTACGTCCTGATAATCCGGCACAGTACGGCAATCAACTTGTCCATGTCGATCAGTAAAACGTTATATAGTAAACCCATGTAGTCGGCTGTAAGAAGATATTTCAGGACCGCTGAGATCTTACATGACGTTCCTTGCTACAACTACACATATGGGCTTTGACTGACGAGAGTTGCGGCTGTGGAACCACAGTGTCCCTAAACCCGATGCGAAGGCCATGGTGAATATGTTGTACGTGAACGTAATAAGACACAATAGAGAAACAAGCCACATAGTAGTTTCTATAAACTCATTGTTGTTTCTCATAGAACAGGACAGTGCAAGTGAATTCAAAAGGAAGTAGCTACATCAAATACCCACGTTCACTCCCGCCTTCACCTCAATCGTAGCTTCAACCCTTCACCTGCTACATTACCACCAACAGATATTTTTCTACAAAGGTAATAGATATTTTATTTCTTTCCCTCGCTACACTGTTTATTATCACACAAAATGCCACGACGCCTGCTTCCAGCACCACCTCCCGCCTCCTGCGCGCAACCCTCACCCTCCGACAACACCTCCGCACCATCTCCACACACAACCCGCTTCGGCCGCCGCGTAATCCCACCACAAGACCTAACTCCCTCCGTCGACCCACCCTCCCAACCATCTCAGCCGCCCCAGACACCCCAGAAAGTCCCAACAACAAAGCTCCCAGCATACTACTCGCTCGCACCCAGCATCCCCTCCCCCTTCACAGGGAGCCTGGAAACAAGCCTCGATGCAATCCTCGCCTTCGGCCAACTCTACGCCGCAATCCCGGGTGTCACACCCCTCATCACCAAGCTCCTCGAGCCCGTATCCACGGACACAAACTGGGCGGCCATCCTATCAGCGCTGGCAACAGCGACACCGCTACACGCGCGGTATCTCATGACGGAGCTGCTATTCCTGGCCACACGCACACTTTTGCCCGAGCAAATCGCAGAGAACAGGGCGATGCTAGGCCGTCTTTACGAGCGCAAGAAACAGCTCGCGATCCGCTTGCTGCTCCGGTACGACATGCTGCGGGAGTGGAAGTTGGAGCCGAGCCAGTCTTCGTATCGCGATCAGCCTATTACGATTGCGTCGGCGGCGCCGGTCGCCGGGTTCGTGGCCCCGGAGCCCGTGGTCGGCGTTGCGTCGCCAAAGTATCCGTATCGGCGGCCGCTGCTGTTGAATGTGATTCCGACGTTGATTGCGGCGCCGGTCGGGGGCTATACGTCGCAGAGTGTACGGGAGCGCATGAGGCATCATGTTACGGAGTTGGATGCGTATCTTATGCTTGGGGATGAGGAGGTGGAGAGGTGGAGTGAGGGGAGGGTGAAAAGTAAAGTGTGTTTTGTGCTGATGCATTGGCAGTGGTTGAGGGGGAATAATGCTACGTTGGATGATTTGGAGGTGCTTGATTGGGAGGAGTTGGAGGGCAAGGCGGAGGAGTGCGGGTGGATTGGGGATGATACGACGAGGGTTCCTACAGGGAGCAGTGTGAAGAAGGAGTTGAAGTCGCTTGGATAGGAAAGGTTGACTTCTTTGCTTGAATAGTCAAGGGGGTCTTGTTTTATATACATAGAGGCTATGGGTTTGTGCAACAGTCGGCTGGGAGTAAAGATTGTTGCGAGAGTCGTAGAGGTCTAGTGCGAAATTACAAAACTTCATGTTGGTGGACGCTGCTGTTCCTTGTCCAGCGACGGAGCGCCTTGCCCTTCCACCAGAAGAGTAGGCCAAAGGAACACCAAAGTGTAGTCAACGCTGCGTTAGTCATAATAGGCCCAATGAAGCTGCAGCCGTTAGTGAGTGCTGTCCATACAAAACAGTTGCTGAACTTACCCATCTTCGATAGTCCAAGGAGTAATGAACTTTCCCATTCCATAACCCCAAAGATTCTTATTAACTGTTACTGCAACAAAGATTGATCCTGCGACAGGCTTGTACGAGTCGACCGCGTAAGTGGTGGCTATACCTGGCAAAGCAGCGACCTGAATACCAGCGCATGTATATCCAATAATAACAATGACTTGCCACGCCCACTTGCGCTGATAGCCAATCGAGACGACAATGTTTCCAATAAGCATGATGATGACGTAGGGGATCATAGCGGGTAACCGCATCTCGGGCTCACGAATGCCATTGTTCCTCCTTGTGCTTCGTAACGACACCCAATCACTGAGTGGTCCAGCGGTAAAGAGGCCAATCATAGTACCGACCATGACGGCAAAGTTGGTGAAACCCACAGAGACGGGCTTGAAGTTGTACGGCGGTGCGGCAAACACTTGGCTTTGTGTGAGATTAAGTGTGAGGAAACAGGAGCAAGACCAGCTGGCGACGAAAGCAGCAAACTCTACAATGGGAAAAGTAAAAAGCTTCCACGGAACCCAGATTTCGAGAAACATGGTGCGGAAAGGATTCGAATTCGGCTGGAAAACCCACCACTGCCACTTAGCAGGTCTACCCTTGCCGAGATGCGGATCGCGCTGTTGGGTTTCGGACATGGTGAGGTCCTTTTCGGCTGGCGAGATGGCAGTCTCGGCTCTCTGGATATCGTTGGCATCCTGCTCTGTATCCGAATTGCCCAGCTCCTTGTGGCTGGGTGTTTTGGTTTTCTCCTCGAGAGAAGGAGTTTTTTCCTGGCCTTCTTGCACGGGTACTACAGCACGCCTGTATCTTGTTTCCGGAAACGCAAAGAGGCACAGGAGGAACGAGAAACCCAAGAGGGCGGTGTTTAGCCACCAAAAGTCGCGCCACCCGACTGTCTCTGCCATGGAGCCAGACACAATCGGGCCGACGGTAAGTGAGCCCATATATACCACCCAGTATAATGTATTCCACTTGCCACGGTCATGAAGAAAGAATATATCGGCAATGACCTCGGGCATGGTAGTCTCTGCAGGGCCAGCACCGATACCGTTGACAATGCACGCGCCCATGAATGCGCCATAAGAATTTGCCTTTGCGCGCCATATCGATGTGCCAAAGTTAATGAGCTGGGACAAAAGGTATACGGGACGACGGCCGAAAGAGGAGCTCATGGGAACCCTGACGCATAACCCGTTAGCCACGACACAAAGTTGACGGGGAATCGGGAACGCTCACCAGATGAAATTACTGAAACCCAGGACAAGAATACACACGCCAGTAAATTGAACGGCGCCAGCGAGGTCTGTATCGAAAGCCTTCATAAGGGCAGGGAACATTGGAGAAAGAGCCAATGGACCGAATCCTTGAGAGAAGGTAGCTACGGCCGCTGACACGATGGTAGCCGTCTTCCAAGCGGGACTCCAATTGAGCGGATCGTTAGGGTCGTCACTTGGCTGTGGAACCAAGACTACCGCATGATCGCCTTTGACGAAGTGGTGCGAGCCGACATCAGCCATGACCTCCGTGCCGGGAAGAATCTCGGTGTGCAACTCTTCCTCGAGTTGATGTCGCTCCTGAACACTGTCAATAACACGCTCAACAATAACAAACTAAGAATAGAAATCTTACATCTTCATTGTAGTCGCGAGACGCCATGATGGCGGAGTTCAGTCTGAACCCTGACGCGATTAAGGTAGCAGTGGTTACCGCGTGAGCGCTGTTGGATGGACCTGGTTTCTTCACGGTTGATTGGGGAAGTGAGGTTCTTCGTTTTGCAGGCCAGTTTGTTTCAAAAGGCTATGGTCCAATTAAAGTTCTACTGCCCCGGTACGACTAGCCCGGCGGCAAGCTGACAGACACAGCAAAGATTACGCCGCAATCAACTCCGAATGAAGTGTCGATACTGGCAAATGGAAATAAGTTGAAACTTGTTGAATCCCCCAAAGATAAGATGCCTTGTGGCACCAACGCGGCCTTTGGGAGGTTAGTGGGGGGGATAAACCCAATGGTCAGGTTGTGCCGTCTTCCGCGATATGTGATGAGGTATGTGACGAAGCGAAAGATACAGTAAGCCAGATCAAGGCATTTGTGAAACTGCGAACAGGATGCATGTCACTGACACTGCGAAGAGTATACATATACTTGACACTTGGCCATGTTTTCAGAAGGCCTAGGTCCACCGACACCGTCCCAGTGCATAGTTAGTTTTTGAATGATTGGTCCAATTTCGAGTTACACCGAAGAGAGGGCCGAGCGGATGACAAGCTATGACACGGCAGATGCCTGGACACATCCCACTGGCTACAAAATCCACGCGAGCGACCCTAAAATATTCCAAAGAGCGGCATGTGAGAAGAATGGCGAGTTCGCGATCATCGGCCCGCCAATGTCCAAGTGCCGAGTGTGTAGTTCAGTGTACTGGCGTCGCCGTTCTAGGCAGCCGATGCGGGGAAAGTTGGGGGATGCCCCGCTAAGAAGCGGCCCACGTCAGCCACCGCGCGCCCACTCTCATACAAAAAGTACACAAACACGTGCTGTACAGACGCAATGTCGGAGTATTTCCTCGGTAGAACTCTTGTTGCTGACAAAGTGATGTGTAATTAACGGCACAGAAGCCCTGCCGTGCCAGCATGTGCACCCACTACAAACTAGTGGCCTAACGTGGCGGTTGTAGTAAGATTGGGCGGTGCAGCCCCCTAATACCGTCCGTGTATAGTACATGGCGTTGGCGGTAAACAACAATAACAATAACAATAAAAGAACAGCCGTGCTATAATGTGGGGAAAATGATGTGCAAGCAAAGAAATCCTGGGGAAGTCCTCATGCTGTATAAGTTTCATTTGCTGTTTAAATGCGCATAACATGGGTGTATGCTCAACAAGGCGCTAATTAATTGGGCATCGAGGCTGGATGCCTAACACTAACCAGATCAACAACAACAACAACAACAGTAACCATCAAGACGTACTTCTGAGACTCTTTTGACCCCGATGTTTCAATATTCACCTGCATTTGCGTAGGATTCTCTTTTGTGCACTGGAGATCACGCACCTAACCAGTATTTTGCCACATGCTGTCGTACGTACGTACGTAGGGCACATGACAGCTGTCAGCTGTCAGCAGGGCTGGGCCCCTCTCTCAGCCACACCCACCGGGCTTGCATATATACTACTTTACCTTGTACATGCGCCAAGGTCGGTCCGGATTCTTGACAAAGCTTAGCGCATCTAGAGAGGATCGAAATGTAGGATTCAATCGCCTCAGGATTGAGGGGGAGGGAAAGGGCAGCCGTCTCCAACTAATAACGGCCGAATCTCCAAATGCGTGTGTGTGTGTGTGTGTGTGTGTGTGTGTGTGTGTGTGTGTGTGTGTGTGTTATTACCCAAAATGATCGGCCGGTTATTTTTTTTGGTGGGCTGGAAACCCGCCGTATACTATGAAAGCATATAAGAGAGCAGATATAGCGTAGGTGCAAAGTGTTATGGTCTGTGACAAAAGTACCTGCTGTTTTTGATCCGGCAATATGCCTCAACAAAAAAAACGGTAAGACCAAAGTAGAGCTGGGGGGGTTGGCGTGGATTGCATGAACCGTTTTTAGTGCATACCGACCTTCTGCAAGCTTGGGGGGGTAAGATGTATTGAATGACAGAAACAGGTTGTGAGGTGATGAAGTGAGGGGTACTGCACCCACCCACCCACACACACACACACACACACATATGTGTAAGCACACGTTGCTATAGCTGAAATGGGCTCAGCCTGTAGTTATAAGACAGGAGTATTATACGTACAAGGTCAATTTACTGGTAGGTTCCGGGGGGAGCTGCAAATGACAGGTGAGCAGGAAGGCACTATACCCTTTTTTGGACGGGAGGGTAGTTATAGTAAACGTGACATCACTCTCGCATCTTCAGGGTCCTCTGACTTTCAAACTCTATATACGAGATTTGAGTAATAAGTAGCGAAAGACATATATCCCTCATCAGCTTACATATATGCCGTGAAAAAAGAAAATTAATTGCAAAGAGCAAAACGCATTGGTAAATGTGACGGTTAGAGATGCGGAGCGGTTGCGTCCGTTGTTCACTACTCAAGGATGGCATTGTGCAATATGCGCCGTTATGAAAAAAGAAAAAAAAATCAAATCTTGTTTCACGCCATCCATCCCGTCTTCCTCGTTTTTTGTTTTTGTTTTCGGAGATTTGGCGAACGAAACGGTAAATAACCGTGCACGTGGTTCTGTTTGATGTTTGGAGATGCACTGTCTTTTAGAGAGAGAGAAAAAAAACGAACGTCTAGACATAGACATCGTGCTGGCTTGGCTATTCCCAATGTCGCTGAAAAGCCAAACATGAAACTTCAAAATTGAGTATTTGGAAGCTTGCCGACTGATTTCGTCCATGTGGTTGAGTGGATGGGACAAACTCGGTCGAAAGTGCGCCGTAGGTATGGTGATTGGTCGAGCAGATCACCAGGGGTGCATGGCATACGTACTACTGTGTATGTAGTATCTTATGACTCGTTTCAGATGTGTTAGAAATGTGTTGAATCGTGTGTTAGCTGTAGAGTATTGTCTAAACGGCTGAATGATTTTGGTGTTTTTTTTTGGCTTTGAACATGGCATATTGTAACAGGAAACCATCACTGTTTCTTCTACTGGGAGAATCAATTGCAAAGATAATTCTAGTTTATGAGGTAGATACGTCTTTACAAAATAGATATTCTAGATCTGATTAACTATGTAGGCTGTGTGTTACAAGTAACAAGAAGGATTCTCTCCTTAACGCGGAATGACGAGGTTAAAGACCAACCACGTCTACGTTAGAAGGTAA